CAACTATTGAATTTACTTGTCTGAAATGAGAAAAAAAGTTTGTAATATTCAGTAGGTACTAGCCAGCTAATCTATAATAATCAGAAATGCTTATTTTACTTAAAGTTATAGTCATCAGCTAGTCTTTAATAATAAGGTTTAGAGAAGCATCTACTTAGTAGTATGAATCACAAACGTTTTTCAATTTGAATAAACAAAATAAATCTTAATTATCAGATCAGAGGTCTCTTTGTATAATTGTATTTATTTGTCAGATTGAAAACAATCGCTGCTTACATGTTTGTTATTGTCTTACATGAGAAGTGCATTGTCTCAGTCTCAATACGCGGACAATGCGTATATAAATCTTAGTATTAAAATTCTATTTAATACGACCAATAACATTGAATCAAACTATTTTACTTTCTGAACTTTGTACATATACCTATAACTTTATGTACATATAGGTGTGTGTATGAAAAGCATTATTGAAATAGCAAGCCATAATTTTCTTTAACGTTATAATGTAAATAAACAGCTGCGATGTATGTTCTTTTGCTTTACATATCATTAGCGCAATTACTTAGCATAAAACTTTACGCCTCCTACATCAGTAAACACGCATAGGGAGAATAAAGCATCCGACATTCATTACGCATATAAAGTATAAACATATTGAGGCCTTACCATGATTTTGCATTGCCCAACTAAATACTGTCAGTATCTACGTATTTTATAATTAATTATAAGAATGAAATCACGAACAGTCTGTAATTTCGTCTTCTTGCAAACTCGTGGTAAAGACACTAGAACACGCAATCTCTTATAATATTGTGGACGTGTTTCTATATAATATATAAATTATTATATTTAAATCTCGCAACGCGATTAAATAATTACATAAAATACTTGATTCGTACACAAAATTTGGTATTTCATGAGCAATGTAATTCGCTTTTCAACAAATCACTATAGGTTACACGATGTTTTCTTAATTTTAAATAAAACAAAATATAAAAAACGAACAAACTTTTTAGGATAAAAAATATATATTTCTTTAAAATAATTTTTCGGTTATATTATACCTAAATATTACGTAAAATATTAATGATTTATCATGTTCAGTATCAAAATCATTTATTTAATATAAGTTATTGCAAAACAACGTTGTCATCGGTATATCAATTTGCGTAGAATGTACCTACTTGATTATTGCATAGCATTTTAATGCGTATGAACAGCGGCAAGCTTTGCATGCCAAGTAAATAGTGATAAATAAGTCAAACTGCGATTGCAATATAGGGAATAATTGTTAGAGTAGAATAGAAGAATATGATTAAGATGATAATATTTAATATTAAAACATTTTTTATATTCAATTAAATACTACAAATGATTTCATTTTTTTAGTATGGTCTCATTAGTATTCAATCGTGGAATATTTTGCCAATGTCAACGTATTTATTTGTTGGACAAATTATAATCTTGAGGACTGTGTGTAGGAAACGCGAAGGAGTTTTATAAAATGGAATAAGGGTTTTTTTCTAAAGAATACTCTAGTTATATTTTTACCAGCACCACTAGTATTATAAACTAGACTAAATATAATTCAATAACACACGGACAACATAGAAAAACAAAAAAATATTACTTAGAGAAGAGTAGAAAGTATTTAGTTGAATATTCCGACTCAAACTTTACTCTCCACAACAGACCCGAGTTATCGCCAAAAGTGAAGTCCTAGATTTTGTTTATAATTTCACACACTTCTTCATTTAAGGGAGGCGTTCAAAAAAAAATGCGTCATATTATTCCAACTGTTGAATATTTATGGAACCAGCAAACGAACTTCCAGTTTCAGTAAACAAAGGTTTGTAAATAGAGTGATAGTATCTGTAAGTATCAAATAACCAATGCTTAATAGACCATGTGGTTAGCAATTATTTTTTTCATTTATATTTTCTTTATGTTTTTATACAATAAAGAGGGCTTAAAACTCTTCACAGCTGCGAAGGCAAAAGAACAGATAGTGAACTTAACGTTACTTAAGACCAAACAAAGTAGCGCTTAAACTTACAAACCAAAATAAATACAAGGTAATTTTCCACCACACAGTAAAATAATTTATAAACTTCGTGTCGAGTTTGTTCTAATAATTTAAAAACATTTTATGAGGCTTGTTGTAAATGGCCAGTGTCTTATTACAGTATTTATTATATTACATATTATAGAAGGTTTTATAAGGAACAATTAAATTGAATTGCCCACGCTAAAGAAATAAAGTACCTTCATAGTCCATTATGGATTACAACGATTTTATATGACAGAAAAATATTTCTGTGACCATCTTCTACCTGGCAATTTCCCAGCTCTAGCCAGGGTCTGCCTAACATGTTGTGAATAGTTTTGTCTAATTGATTATACGACCGGCCGCCTGTCTGACATTAACCCACTTTGGAAAGTACATTTGTCTCAGAAAAATCACATTGGTACTTGCCAGGATCGAACCCGCACCCTCATGCATGAGAGGCGGGCCTTTTAACCACTAGGCCACCACTGACTTACAAATATTTCTGTGACAGTATTCATATATAACATAAATGATAAAGTATTTAGCTTCATAGGTTTACACATTTTATATTTTCAAATATAACCAGTATATTTTTTAGTCTTCAACCTTTACAAAAATATATAATATTATATATACTTAAATATTAGACCTAACGTAAAGCGAACGTAGTTATAGAATTGTTGGCATGTGACAAAAAGTTGTGAAATATATTTTTATTGCTTGACAATAATTAATATATGTGACACCGAGGTCTTTATGTTTGAAATATTTAAAGATGTCTCAGAATAAACGTATAAAATGATACACGGTCTAAGAAACTAATTGACGAGCCACGATACGATTGTTTTGGGACATTGAGAAGGTAATGGTAGAATCGGCCTTAGCCCGCTTGCGAACTCGCACCTGACTGATACCACTGAACTGTTTGAATCATTTCTAGCAAGATTACAGGCTTTTCATGGTATTATACTAAATGTTCTGCGGTTTGTAACCACAACATAAGTCGTAATATTTTGATTTATCTATATCTATATAAATGCTCGTAAAACTAATAGTTAATATCAAATATAGCTTTCTTTAAACGTTTCATAAAAGATTGTCTAAATTCACCAAGGTTAATTGCATTATGTTTTAATAATTCGACTTGATAAGTAGCTACTTAGTGAGATCCTTAGTAAGTCTGGACGGCCTTAATTCATTATGAGTTACAATGTCAAAACAAGAGAAGCTAATAATTGTAGATATATCTGGTGTTCTTAAACGAGGCATTGCGAAAATTTAAAAAGCTTCGGGCGATGGTTAAAATAAAGCAGGCATTACACAAAAGGTCAATCTATCAAATAGTTATCGTGACTATACAACTATTCTTAGAGACGAGTGAAGTAAGATTTCTGCAATTAATATACACGTGAAATAGATGAATCCAGCAATATTTCATATTAAGTTATAAGTATGTTCGGAGGCCAGTGATCTAATTCTAATGTTTATTGAAGCGATATCGATATATAAAATGTATCGATTAATCTTAAACTCGTGATCGGATATCCCGACGTTTTTTAGTAATAAATATATATCTCATTACGGTAGTATAACTTTATCTGAAACTGTCAAATATCAATAATATTTTTGCAACAATATATCTTTATTACGTAATCGTTAGTTATAAAATACTTTTTTGTATTTTTTAAAATAGTTACGTAATTATTGTACCTATACTTTTAATAATTTACCTATATTTTTAATAATTTTTTTGTTTTTATTTTTCTTTATGGACAAAGCAAATTTTTCATTTTAACACGTTTTATTCTTTGTTAAATATTGATATTAAGCGGTATCTACATTTGAGGATATAATTATATAGTTATCTTTCTTGTGTTAATTATTTTTGTTAAAAAAAGCACTTGTCATATATGCATAATATTTTAACATAAGTCTTTAATATTTTCTCTTAGATTTATTTATACATTGAAATGTGATCTTCTGCATCGTACAATTACTGCTTCAACAATATTCGGCGAGGCCGAAGCGCGCGTGATCATATAAATTGCTGTGGTTTCTATCAATAATCTGTATCCTGGTAACAAATGTCAAAGCCATCTTTCCCAATACGGCATTAATGATATTATTATTCGGTTAATATGAATTTATTCAAAATAACTTTGCGGTGGTGAAAATCGGTTTTGATATCAATAATATAAAAGCGATTGTTGGCTGTTTGGACAGGAACAAAATATTTTACTACACTTATTTTTTATGTTATGATCATGGGTATAAGACGATTGGAGAAATGTACAATTTCGTAAAAGACAAACTAAAGCTTACGAGTTCTAGAACATTCTTTCAATAATTGCCAGACTTTTTTCATTATAAAAACGGGAAGTTAAAAAAAATAGTTTATTAAAAATCAAAATACTCTTACTGTAATTTGTTGTTAATAATTATCTACATAGTAAACAGTAATACAGAATAAACACATTGGTTGTAAATATTAGCATTATAATTATATATATCAATGAAAATATATTAGGTTTTATCCAAGATCCGTCATCAAAAAAAATATATCATACGTTAAACTGTAATCTTCCCATACTTTATTTCCGATATGAAAAACACGAAGTAATGCTCATATACATGGCAGAAATAAGACTATAATGTTTAAAAATAGCAAATAACTTTAAGGTTTACGATGAATATAAATAAAACTATCAAAATTTATATTATAAAAACGTTTTTAATCCTTGTTAATACATCGAGTATTTATAGAAAATATTTAACACTTATAACTAGTCACTGAAACTGTTAAGAATATTCATAGAGCATATTCAAAATGAATTAAAAGCCTGTATACATAACGATAGTATTATTTTTCTTCCTCCTGGCAATTTCCCAGCCCTAGCCAGGGTCTGCCAAGTCTAGCCAGTATTATTACATGTATAAATTACTATGTAGTTCATGCTTTAGCCAGGTCAGGCCTCTGTTCGACCCTATTGACGGGGTTCACTTTGCAAGTTATCTTATAAGACTCGACCATTTTAACTGAATCCCTGACTAATATAGTAGATCGTATCGTGAAGGGATGAGCGAAACACACGGACGCATCGCAGAGAGCGGTCTGGAAGCTCAGGTACATGCGATAATGTGTCTTATCTGTCCTTGTTTTAAGCTTCATTTCTACTTTCCCCGGTAGTTTGTTCCCTTTGTGGCTACATCCAACGAACTCGAAGTCGTCTAACGTAACGTCCTTATTATTATCGTCTCTCACACACACGTGCCAGTTCTGCGGAGCGCCGGGTGTGAATTTAACGTTCTTGGTCTCAGCGTCCAAATTGACGTTGAAGTATATAATGAGATGTCCGCACTTTCTGTTCACGAATAAATCGTTCTTATACAGTATTAAATTCTCAGGTTCCGTGAATTTAGGATCCGGTAGACGTACTTTGAACTCCTGACACACGTTTTTGGGTACGTTCAGTATTTTTATGCTGTGGTTGTTTGTGTCGGCTATGTAGAGGTATTTTCCGTCCGAACTGATGGACAGGCCCGAGGGTTCATTGAACTTTGCCGGATCAGTGGATTCGATCATCGTTGGATTGATCGTCGACACTTTCTGTGGTCCAACATCAACTTTCTTTATTTTATGATTATATGTATCCGCTACATATAATGTTTTATTGGCCTCATTGTAAGCCACTGCCATTGGATGTTGCAATTTCGCTTCAACCCCTACATCATCGACGTCTCCAAAGGCGAAGAGATTCTGGGAACATCACATGTATTATATTCATTTTTTGTGATAACTATTTAGTTTATTATATTTACTTACCAATGGGTTCCTGTCACCTCCACATAGCGTACTAACTTGTCCAGTGGACAGCGCGAGTCTTCTTATGGACGAGCTCTCGGAGTCAGCTATGAAAACCTCTGGGCTGGATCCTATACAAAATTATTACATTAAGTAATCAATATATATATATAGACAGCTTGTATATAGAAGCAAGATGAGTGACTATACATTACATTTTTATATAAAATAATGAATCTTAGGTAAATTTATATACATATATAATATAAACAAATCGCGAACCGTATTTACCGGATCGAAGCGCGAGAGCCGATGGTTGTGCGAACGCGGCGCTGGCCGCGTACGCACTGTTGCGGGCGGCCTCCGCGCCCGACCCCGCCACGCACACACACGTACCTACACACACACACGGTTGTATTCATGTATTATCAGTGCCGTAACTAGGGCGTTGCCAGCAGTGCCCAGGCACAGGGCGCAGACCCTGGAGGGACGCAGAAATGACCAGACTAGTATCTAGTTTTATCTCATGCATGGTAGCTATACCTATACTTATATACTTTGTTACTTTGGTAAACAATAAATAGATAGATTTATTTGTATGCACAGTTGTCCATTTTATTTTCAAAGCCTGGTTAGAGCATTTTTCAAGGGCGCAGTTTTGAAAACTCGCACCGGTAGCATAAAAGCCTAGTTACAGCACTGTGATATATATACTATATAGATATATATACACACAAACACTGTTCACATGTGTTTTGCTTGTATATGTTTATTAACTATCACTATTTAGAAGCTATCTATTCTGAATTTAAAACCTAATAATAATTTGTACGTTACAAAGACTTTCATATTATTCAGATAAATTCTTCAACGATCTTTTGGATGGTAGTGTATAGAGATGGTATTTTTGATATAATCGTGTTCAAATCAAAAAATAAACTCCTTAGTTTTATTACATTAATATAGAAATTTGTCAATATCTTAATTCTTAAAAACATTGTACAGTAGAAAAAACTTCAAAAGTATGAATTTTTCATATTAAAGAATAAGATTATTTCTTTGATGAATTATAATATAATATTGCGATTGTCTCTTAACTTCGCCGATTACTATATTTTTTATTTATTTTATTAGTATGCCTCCAGTTACTACTGTAATATATGAAATAATGCAATAAAATAACATTTACCTTCTGAGTAAGACTTGTATTTCCACCAAATAGTATTATCGAGGAACAGTGCCCAGATCTGGTGTGATCCCGCACAAGCTATCAATAGCACGCGGCGTTTCTCGTCTTTCTTGTCCTTTTCTAAAATGTTTTAATAATTAAATACAACATAGAAACATGGATCTTAACCCTATTCATTTAATTACCATAAACCGACCACAAAATAGAAGTTCCATATACATATTTGAGAAATTCATTCAAAACCCCTTTTAATCTTCTTCGAAGTAAGTCTTTAAGCGTTTGTATGAAATAGTTTTTATGAAATACAAAGTGAAGTAAGTGTTCTTGTAACACCTAAGCTGGGTAATTTCAGAACATAATATTTTACAGGTGGATCATTCTAGAATATTCTAGATCATTCCAAAGAAGGTGTAATAACAGTTTTACTGGTCTGTATTGAGTCTGGTAGTACAATATAAAAGTTAGGAACCTTTGGTATCATCTTTAGTTTCTATTTCCTTCTCAACCACCGTGATTCCTGGCGGCGGGGGAGGGGGAGGTGGCAGGCTCGGACGAACAGACATGTCCATGTCAGGGGTCGTGTATAATATAACATCCCACGGTGAAGACAACGCTTGAAGTCCAAGACACTTCCCACCTGAAAACAATTATAATTTATTTAATCACCCATAATTATACTACTAGTTTCCCAAAGAAAGTTGATGTCAGGCAGGCGGCCGGTCTTTAAAACAATTAGCCAAAACTATTTACAACATCTAAGGCAGATCCTGGCTAAAGCTGAGAAATTGCCAAGAAAAAGAAGAATTATACTATTAGTAATTGTTAACCGAAACAAAAGGTTATCATACTTTTGCTTGACTGAGTATTATGCTTAATATTCATACTCTTTACATCAAATATATAGAGATTTTAAGCTAAGCATAATATGGTCCAGAAATTATAAAAAAGCAAAGTGCAATAGTAAATTGTTGGAAACCAAACTTACATATGAAAGAGATAAAAAAAAATTAAAAATCAAATGTTCATATTACATATTATGTAAGATGACTGACTCTATTTAAAATAGTTACAATGATTTAAAGATAATAAAAAATAAAGGATTTGTTTCATAATAGGGTGTAAGAATAATATATGTATGTATATCTACCAAAATCTCCGACCGCAGCCTGCTCGCCTGTCCCAGCCAACACTTCAACAGTTCCTTCATCGAGATGTACGGCTCTCAATGCATGGTTATTTGTATCACAAACAACTAACACTGAACTTGACAACCAACACAGACCCTGAGGTGAATTGAACTGAGCTTCTGTTAACTCTGAAAAGATAATTATTCATAACATAACACTTTCTGCTAAAAGTATTGACTGTTTTAGATTCATTAACAGATTGATCAGAAATTTTAATGATAAAATATACATATGTATTTATTTGGCTTATATCAAGAAAAGTATATGACTTGTACATATCTGCATATCTTTACAGACATACCAACCAATACAAGGCAAGCAAAATTGGTTTCAGATTTAGGTTGTAAATAATTTTAACTCACTTCCATCTTTAAATCCAGGTGTCTTCCCTCCAACAACTCTCAATATGATGCCCGAACAGTCAGTAAGCAGTATACGGTGATGACCCGTGTCAGATATTGCTAAGAAAGGCTCCTCACCACGCCCACGATAGAATGGATTTAGAGCTATCTATAAAGGAGATGACAAAACAATTCATTGAGTTAAAAAAACACTACAAAAAAAATTATGCATAATATTAAGTGATTGACTATCAAGAATTTGTTGTAGGACATAGACTAGAAAAGATTGGAACTACTACTTGGTGATCAAAAGAATTTTTTTGATTCAAACTTTACACATAGTAACAACTATTTTTATTTCTTACATTATTTTTGAAAAACTATCAAACAGATAAAGTAGAATCACAACTTGAAGCTTTAAAAACTATATTTAATGTTGAAAATATTTGCAAGAAATGTTTTCTAACTAAAAAGACTGTAAAAACAAAAAGTACATACCTTACTAGGAAAGTAAAGTATATCATTGTCCTTAGATTTTACAGAAGAATGAAGTGATATCGGCAATGGAGTATTAGATAATTTTGTAGCAAAATGCTGTAATGCCGATCCCAGATAGCAACATAATTCCGCTCTGTGGCCCTCTCCTGTTAAAATGAATATTGGTTTGTTGCCAGGACCTGGAAAGAAAAAATTTAAAATATATATAAAATAAATAACAAAAAAGTATCTACCACATAAGAACAACTGTAAAATATCAAACAATTAAACAAGAGGTAGTTAAGAAATAGAATAAAGTATTCCTACCTAGTATAAGAAGTGTAGGCCAGCATCTTATTCCCAGGGTCTCCCACATAACACTCTCCGCATCATTAACAACTGGATGATGGATATTATATCTATGAACGGCGGCTAACACATTAGTGGAAGACTTTTCATTTGTAAACTTAGCACAGTGAACACCTATCTAAAATATTGAGTTTTCATAAATTAGTTAAAATGTAACACACAACCCAATATATTTGTGTAAAACTTTTTTTTTTGTTTTTGACATACCACAACCAGGCCACTGTCATTTTTATACAGATTTTCTATATAATCCAGATCCGGGAGAACATGATAGCAGTTGATACAGCAATATGTCCAAAAATCTAGAACAACTACCTTGTCTGAACAATGTTGACTCAGAGATAGAGGTTCTGTTACATTTACCCATACCAAATCTAAAAATTGTTTATATAGAATTATTACTCAGATATGTAGTGAAACAAATGTATAAATTAACTAATCATTAGATCAAATACTTTTTTTAAAGTCCTCTATGGGTGGAACAATGGCCCAAACTTTTTTGATATGATTTGTTATAAGAGTCTCGCGATCAGTTGCATTTGAAGTGGACGCCAAAGCCTCAGTTAAATCGAGACAGGCCTGAGCCACGTAATCCAGAGGGCTGGAATCCATCTTCAGGATATGATAATTATTCAACTACAAATTGCTTTTCTAAAGAAATAGTCAATATATTAAGCAATTCAATAATATGTTGAGAAAGGCTTCATTATTATCGTGAATACTTTCTTTCCTTGTAATTCCGAGTATGTTCAGCATATATACTGCCATATGATCATCTCCAAACTTTCCAATTTTTTAACACTTTTGCTTTATGACAGAACAAAACTTTCAAAGTCACAGACTGAGATAACTTTCATAAGGCGCAGTATATACAATATAATTTGTTTGTAATGTTTCCTTAATAATGTTAATATTATTCGAAATTTAAGTACTTTCAGACAGACCAAAAAATAAATAACTAAACTACTACTGTAATAGTATTATGCACTATGAAATGTAAATTTTACTTCAGCGATTCCGTCCGGTGACGTTAAACTTTCTTTGAATTTGACATGTTTACAAAACATAACAATAAACTTATTCTATCTATCTACGCCGTGATTTGTTTCCTTAGTATGAATTTTCTTTACCAGCTGTGACTGTGGAGGTTACTCATTGTTTTTTAACTTAAGGAAAATAATATAAAACCGTAGTATAACACAAATTATGATCAATCATGGATGCCATGTTTGATATTTGTTACCTTTCGCCAGACGGTAATAATGTAGAGCCTGATGATATTCCGGAAACAAAGGAAAACGTATGGGTATTAGGAAAAAAGTATAGTGCTATACAAGGTGGGATTTTAGTGAATTAATATAAGAATTAATATTAACAAGATGACAATATGTACTTCCGAACATTTTACAGATCTGGAGCGTATAAGACGCGATATAACTTCGGTAATTTGGTGTACCTACAGAAAGGGCTTTGTCCCTATAGGGGATGAGGGTTTAACATCTGATAAGGGATGGGGCTGCATGCTGCGTTGTGGACAAATGGTGCTTGGAGTAGCACTGATTAAAGTTCACTTATCTTCTGATTGGGTTTGGACTCCCGAGACAAGGTAAAGTCATATTTATTTTACATGTCAATTGCATTAAGTGTTATTTGCTTAGAAGATAAACAGTAATTTAAGCATTACAGTCAAATAATGACACTATTGTTTTAAACTAATTATACATTTTTCAGAGATCCAACATATCTAAAAATAGTCCAAAGGTTGGAGGAGAGAAAACAAGCTCCATACTCAATTCATCAAGTGGCTTTAATGGGGGCATGTGAAGGAAAGGAAGTAGGCCAGTGGTTTGGCCCGAATACTATTGCGCAAGTACTCAAGTGAGATAATTTGCTATTTATGTATTTTATGCTCTCATTATATTGTTTTAAAGACCGCTTCTTTTATTGAATATTGATGGTGTTTTGCAGAAAATTGGTGGTTTATGACAAATGGAGTTCATTGGTTATTCATGTTGCTTTGGACAATACAGTTGTTAAGGAGGATATTTGTAAATATTATGATGAATTATTATATATTATTAATATATAAGCATTATACAAATACTTATAGTCGTTTGTTTGCAGTGCAACAGTGTATTGTCAATAATGATAGAGGAGATTGCTCTGAGAATGTAGATGGATTTGTTGTGAGTGATTGGATGCCTCTTCTGTTAATAGTACCTCTTAGACTTGGACTTAGTGAAATTAATCCTATTTATATAGAAGGGCTTAAGGTATATAATGTTTTACATATATTTAACAAAAATATTAAATATGTAAATTATGTTTCATATTATATTTTATTTACAGATATGTTTTCAATCACCTCAATCAATAGGTGTAATAGGAGGCAAGCCGAATCAGGCTCTTTATTTAATAGGTTGTGTTGGGGATGAAGTTATATATTTAGATCCACATACCACACAAAAAACTGGTTTAGTTGAGGTAATTAAGAAAAAATATGAGTATAATCTCTCCTTTTTTATATTATTAGGGTATTTTGAGATACAGGTTAAACCTACTTCAAAATTCCTGTTGCTAACTATTGCTGTACAAACTGATTTAAACAATAGAATTTTTATTATTATTATTTTTTTTAATAATTAATCATTACATGTACATGCAGTGTATGAAATGTAGTATATATAGTGTGTAGTGTATTTTAATAAACTATTAAAATTACATGGTTTATTGTGGTATCATTTCAGAACAAACTTACAGATGAACAAAAAGAAATGGACTGCACATATCACTGTAAGTATGCTTCAAGAATTCCAATATTGTCTATGGATCCCTCTGTGGCAGTGGTAAGTATAAATATTTTAACTTTTTTAGACAGATCTTTAAAAAAACTCTAATATAATCTTCTTTGCATCATCATTCTAGTGTTTTCTTTGTCGCACAAGGAGTGATTTTGATGAACTATGTGAATTAATTGAGAAACGATTAATGCAATTGAGTCAACCCTTGTTTGAAATATGTGAGAAAAGACCATCACATTGGGGCCCAAATACAAACGACATTGATTTACAGAACACTAATCTATTCACAGGTAAAAATCTCTGAGCCTAATGACTTCTAGACTGTTTGGCAATTTGTTCCCATTTTTATCTAACATAATTTTATTAATATTTGAATTATTTTCCAGAATTTGAAGAAGTTGATAGACAATTTGATGATTCTGATATTGAATTTGAAATTCTATGAAACTTGAAGCAATAAGAAAAATACTGGAGAGAACATGATAACTGGCATCACAATAACATTTTTAAATTTAGTGTAAAGGAAATCCTTTTTTTGCAAAATGATATAATTTCACTTGCTGTTTATTACTATGCAAATTTCAATATAATATTTGTTCTTATATAAATGGGCTTATAAGCTTTTGCTGTCAAGTAACATTTAATTAATCTAATGTATAGAGAATTAAGATTATATAACATAATAGACTATTTGTGAAGCAGTTCTGATTTACAGTGCCTTTACTAATATTATATGAATTCAGAATTAATGGTAACAGTAAAGGTCATTCATGATCATTGTTTTTTATACATAAAATTGCCAAATCTAGTCATATATTATATAGCAAAAATATTAAAGTCACTGCCTGTTCTATGCAACAAAAATTTTATTGCAAAATATGAATGGGTTAGCCATAACAACACAAATTTCTAAATAAGAAATAGACAAACCGTTTATTAATTCAATATCTTTATTAAAATTTGCATTATTTGGGAATTATTATAAGCAATTTGCATAATATTTTGATTTACTAGTTCAATGTTATTGTAATATAGTACTGAATTTAAAATGCTTGTTATAAAGAGCAATATTTAAATAAATTTTGTTTATTTGTATTTATATTAAGTTATCAATGGCTAGAAAAGGAAAATTACCTTTACCTGAGAAAAATAATGTCTTATTCTACATCTAACTAGAAAGATATATAAAAAAGTTACATACTTTTTTATGGGGACTGCCTGTTGTGAGTTTAGAAGCATAATATTTTTTTATTTACATGTAAATAATATACAAAATTATGGTATATATAAATAAACATTTATTTTATTTAAACATTTTTATTTCACCATCACATATAAATTTTATTAAATCAAATACATATATCAATAGAATTCATTTCACATAATTAAAATTTTATTTAGCACATGAATTTTAATCCTTAAAATGTTAAATATTGACAACCAATTGCAAGAATATATTTTATAAATCTATTTTCGGTTCTACACTAAAAGTTATAATGAAAATGTTACTCATAATTGAAACACAAGTTACAACAACAAAACTTCATTTAACAGGGTAGTCTAGTACTAACAAAGCTCTAACAAACCATAGGTTAAATATATCTCAATATCAAATTAAATTTAAAACACTCGCATATCTATAATAAAAATAAAATTTTAATAATAAGTGGCACTCTAATCACTGTCACAATTTAGTTTCAACTAAAAAGCTCTACATATAATGAAAATAGAGGCAAGACAAATTGGACCCTATGAAATAATTACATTGCATTACAACAGAAAACATTCAATAGACACATTGAATAAATATATTTTGGATTATCCTAAATAAACAACATCAAATCTACACATTATATTCTCAACTATGGGTAACTTCAGATAGGAATACAAAAATAAATTCATACAAATATATTTTTGGTACTTATTTCTATATATTAAAAATAAGGATTTATAATTTCACAATTATGCACTCATACATTGGAGATTTTAAGACTAGCATCAGACAAGTAAGTTCTCCCAAATTTATGACTAATAAAGCTTTAGGTATAAAATGCAGAAATAAATGTTACAAAGCAATGTTAACCGGTTTTTCATCAAGCTATTGTTAAAAAATTATAACATATTAGTCGCACTCTGGGGTATACTATGTAAGATAACATTTCACAAATCACAAATGTTTCATTTGCATGTCCAAGAAAATATAAGAAAAACATGGGAGTCTTTTATAATTAATTTTTCAATATTTTTTGCTTTTACCAATAAATTTTCACCTGAAGATAGGGATTTAGTGTTAGGTTTAAAAATTTTAATCTATCTCCCACCCAAACACAGAGTGTGCACAGTATATTTTGCTAATATCTCAATGGATGGAAAATAACAATATAATATAACCTAATAACATACATATATTTTACCCTGCTTGCTTTCTGCAAACATTGCACGTTTTGTAAAAGATATAATGGTTTTTATGTTATTTTAATCACAATTAGAGTATTAAGTAATTTTTTTTAAGTACTATGTCTTATTATTTTTTCAAAATAAATATTTTCATATACAAAAATAATCACAACCACACATAGTGAAGATTTTATAAATTTAAAAATAATTGCTGACCTTATACAAAACTATTAATTTTCATCTAAAATATATTGCACATATAAGTACCCTTTGAAATGACCCATTTCTCTGTAATATTGTATTTATTTGTACTGTGAAAGCAATACCTTAATTTGGTTTTCAAGAAATATTTAGGCTTATGCTCTAAACATTTCATGATTTAGCCTATTTTATTTATGTACATTCTTAAATAATACCAGTTTGTAAAGTCAGTTAACCAAGAATTTCATGAAACAAATAGTAGAATTCGAAAGGACTATTTTTTTTTGTAATTCTTACTCAAAATCATTTTTCATTATTGATGATGTAGAGAATTTGCTGTTCAGAAAGTTTATGATCAAAACTGTAATATTGTCAACTGAGCCCCGGTAATAGGCTTGAAGGGTTAAACTTTTGGCTCCATAGTCAGGTTCATCCAGTCTTTCTTTGATAAATTTGATTGCCTCTTCATTTGAGAATGTGTCCCATAAACCATCTGAAGCGAGCACTAAGAACATTGGTCGATGATCTTCAAGGTTAAATGTTAGAATGTCCGGGTCGGCTATAACAAAGTTCTTATCTTTGAGGGGATAGTCACCCATTGCACGTGATGTTGCCAAGATGCCAGCAACTCTCCATACACCATTAAAAGCAATATATCCACCGGCGGCTTCAATACGCTTCTGTTCTCGCACCTGAAGTATTAAGAAAAATAAAATTGTAAAATTATTATAAATTTTACTATTTTTTATAATCACTTTGGAAAAATATATATGATAAAGTTTTAAATACTACAACTAAGAACTTCATAGAAAAAATTATTTATTAATAAGTTGAGTAATAATTTTGTGTGAAAGATCATTTTATTTAGAAATAATATTTTATAGTTATTGCCAAATTAAAGACCTACTAATTAATTTAATGAAGAGACAATGGTTGATTAATTAAAAAAAACTATGAACAGATTTGATTAGTGACAGAATTATAGTTCTTAAATAGAAAGAAAAAGAATAATATCAATATTTTATCACCTGTTGTGGCTTATGATCAAACGATAGTGGAATAGCATTACCACGACTGTCACACATCACACCTCTAGAGTCCCCTACATTAGCAACAATCAGATTATTATCTTCCAAAACAGCTATCAAAGCTGTAGTTCCAGCTACATTCATAGAGCGCTTCGCAGCTTCAACAAGTAGCCTGTCAGCTGCCAGTACTTCATCTGTTAACAGTTTACCATAATTTATCTTGCCCTTGTCTAAATAACTTGATAATGGGATGGCAACGTTTTTGACTGGTTTCACTGGCCTCACCTCCCTAGTTATTATGGGGCGTGTTTTAGACAACTGGGCTAATAATTGTGGATCGGTAATCTCTTTTTTAGATGTGTCATCAGCAGTACTGGCAGATTTCCGAAAACTACTCTTTTTCTCAATCACATGATTTTCTTCACTCTTTATTTCATCTGGACTTTCTTTTAAAGGAGTGGTGACTAGTTTACCATCTTTAAATGCATTAAGTTCAACAACTTTGTTGTAAAGATTCTGGATAAGATGATCTTTTGCGTAGTTAGCGGCGAATTCACCACCATGACCGTCAAATATTGCAAACAAGGATACACCTGTACTGTTGATATTCTCACTTATTATAAATTTATCTTCCATGTGCATTCTTCTACCCTTAATTGCGTATGCTGCACTTGATTCACCTTTAAGTTCCCAGCTTTGTTTATCAGTTTCAGAGCCTTCCATAAGTTTCATACGTTGCACTGCGTTTATTGGGCTCAACGCCTGTGATAGCCTGCTTAGTAAAGTGCGACTCCATAGTCCTATAGTTTGAAGATACATAAAAAATATAATAATCCCTAAAGTGAAAACTAGCACTTCGGATCGCAGTAAATAAAGTCGCACCATTTTCCATAAATAGCCCGCGGGAGTGTCAAACGCAATACTGCTCGTAAATCGAGACAAAACTTTCATAAAAGAAATATAAGTTTGATGTAAAACTCTATCTTCTAATTCGTCTTCCATGTCCTAATAATAAATGTTAATACAAACAATGATATGAAATTGTTCTTTATTTGCAACTCCGCGAAATAGTAGGTAGGTAGGTAGGTACATAAAAAACTTCAAGTCAAAAATATTGACGTATAGATAATACAACCATCACAGGTAATACATATAATGGCGAAAAGATTTTACACATTATAGAAAAAGCTATTAAAATATATGTAAACCAGCTAATAAAGTTTATCAATATTAACGATAGAATATTACTAATAGAGTAATATGTAATATCACGAAATTTTGTAGCAATTTGAATTTCATTTACTTTAGTTTTGAAATTTGTACTTGGAATGATATATTGAGGAAAAAAAATATCTTTCCCTTTCCGCGAATTATCACCCTTACAAGGCTTAATTGATTCAAAAATTAATTAATGAACCCCTATAACTCGAATGATGAGCTGAACAGACAGAAAAAAATAATGACAAAGAAAATCATATTAATTGCGACAAAGCGCTCCTTTATCTCATTGAATAATTAAATAGAAGTGTTAGCAAACTGCACAACCCAAGTCGTTTCTTTGTATGTGAGAATAAGCGATGCAGATCACGGATGGGACGACAAGTCTCAATTTGTTGAATTTTTCTATTAGTAACAGTCACCAACTGGTCAAAAATATTATCTATAATGATCTAAATTATAGGAAAAGTTAAGACAACTTTATTGTTCCTCACCATCTAGACAATTTATTATCATGGACACAGTTTACGAATTGTCACCGCTTTTTTGTCAATTTTTGTCAAATCTGCAATGTAGACCCTTGTATCCTAGGGATTCCACTTGGGCTAGTTGGGGACTCACTGGGATAGAGGTGGACCACAGAAACCGCGGCGAGAATTTAACTAATTATGTCTTTTATATATGAAAGTGCAACTACTTCCATGCTGGAATATTCAGCGGTGTAGGACCTCTCTGGACCTAAGGTGGTTTTTAAACCAATCGGTAATAGTTTTTGGGCGAATATGATAAGGGAGCTCTGTCTGTTCGTGACAAGAAATGTTTAAAATTGATTGGGTTACATATAAATTTAAATGTGTTGTGGAATCTCTAGGAGCACAATTTTAAAAGTAACAAAATTTATAGAAGACACATATGTGTGGAAATGGGAAGATATGTAGGTACTTATGTATATATCAGGATTCAGGACAAATAGGCAAATTAATATTCTGCTTTGGGGATTTTGGAAAGAGGAAACATAACAAAAAAGGAAGGATAGAGTGTGAAAAAAAATAAAACATTATAAATAATTGTTGAGTTTGATTTTCACATTTCAGTTGCATCGGAAATAAATGGAAATAATTGGTTTGCTTAGTCGAGTATGACGGATAACATTAAACGTTGATGCGGATTGAATACTACACACTATGATTTTTATTATTTTTGTTTCGTGATAATACTGATAACCTGCTTTTTAGGTAGTCAATATTAGTTGTGGAATAAAGAAGTTGCTGCCTTTTCCTTCTTAATTCTTTTACATATATTTAAATGAGCCCATAACATATGGTTGTGAAACCTTTACAACCATTTCAAACAGAAGAACAAGCCATTCTTTCTTTTCTTCCAAAATTTATCTTGGAACTTGTGATTTTGTAATCGTATGACATGTTATAAAATGTTTTCTACAATATATCGAGCTAATTTTGCTTAGATGATAGTTGATCAGTTTTTCAAGACTGTCCCTGTATTTAGTCAGGAAATTTTTATTATCTTTTTGGTTGCTGCAAATGTAAAGTCACGTAATAAGTTATATGGTATAACTTTATTCCGTCCTTCTAAAGATGATAAAATTCTTTTCACCTTTTCCATTAAAGAATGAAAAATTTTAATATTCTTGTTCTTCAAAATTAGATATTCGCCCATGTCAACCGACGTCAATAAACCTAATGTTATCTCCCGAACAGTCATCCCTACTAATATTATAAATGCGAAAGTAACTCTGTCTGTCTGTCTGTCTGTCTGCTACGTTTTCACGCCTAAACCACTGAACTGATTTTAATGAAATTCGGTACAGAGATAGAGTTGACCTTGAGAAAGAACATAGGATAGTTTTTATCCCAGACTTTTGAAAGGTTCTCTTGGAAACGCGATATAACCGAACTCCACGCGGCGAAGCTGCGGGCGGAAAGCTAGTAATAAATAAAACAATACTCAAGTTGCTCTTATAGTTGTTATACTCAGTGTCATTAATAAGAGGCGCCGCGGGAGAGCAACATATTTTCGATCCATTGCGTGAATAATTTAGTAAACTACCCATGAAAAAGTCCTCAGATTTGTTTAGCTGTTCTAGAAATAAACTAGCACTAAGGAAACTCGTATCAATGCTTTTTTGTACATATTGATCTAGGGTTAATTAAAAGCAGAGTACTGTGGCTTTCCTAATATATATGAGCTAGAAATTATGAATAATACAGGACCAGTGTCGGCTCGCTTAGGGTATACTTTTAGGCGTCAAGCCCATACTAATGAAATATATAATGCTTTAGGCAATAACAGGTAATAAGGGGTGAATCTGTATTTTGAAATTATTCCCTCTGACAATGAGATATTTTAAATTTGGAAATTCTATGGCCGGAAACAATGATTATTCTTTAAATTTTGCCCATCAGCTCGTCACGTTATCGTTTAATATATTAAGTTTAATCCTTCAAATAAGGAGAGATATTAAAAATTGGAAATTAGAAATCGGCATGGTTGGATAATGAATAAAAATATTTTCTGTGATTTTATCTAAGGTAACCTTTTACATAAGGTACCTCTTATAGGGATTACCTCAAAATAAATAAATCTTCGTTTAAAAAAGTGGTACCAAAGGAATATATCGAATAGTAACATAATGTTATATTTTTTTTAGGGGTAAAATTGAAACATTTATTTATTGTTCTTATAAATGTATTAAAACAGCAAAGTCAGATTACATATCAGATCTAGTAGATACAAATTCTTTATTAAATTAGTTTGTGCATAGATACATCGCAAAAATGTCTAGGATAAAGTACTTATTTAAATAAAGCACTATTCAGTATTCATGGCATATAAGAGATAGGATACGCAATACTAAGTACTCGTACATGAAAGATGTAACAAAATGTATATTTTATTCGCTAAAACATACTTAATATATAAAAAAATGTCTTTGGAGTATTAAATAAATTCAAGATTCTTATACAATTTTATATAACTTTGAAATTACGCTGTCTAGTTGTTCAGAGAAAATATTGCCGGAGAATATTTTTATGACTCATAAAAAATTACTAACACAATATTTGAACACAAACACGAAGTTCATTACAGAATTTTTGCTGAAGTTAATACTTACTCTAGAATCAACGTACATAGACACACATGCAGTACATCTAAAGACTTAGAAACAAAATAATATTTAGATAAAAAAAAACAACGACAATTTTAGTTTTATACTTAATGTGTAACATGAGAATAAACAATAATACTTTAAACATTAATTACCTATGAATGCTCCACAAATTGGTATTCAAATTATATTAATAAATGTTACAAAACATTTAAACAATGAGTAATTGTGTATTTTTAATACTTCTTAAATTGATAAAATTTTATTATCTGTATTCTATAACCGTTATTACGTAAAAACAAAAATGGAATGGAGTCAGACATGAAATTACATAACACTAAATTTGAGAATATATTACTTTAGAATAATAAAAAACGTACTTTAACACAAACAATATTAACTAAATAAATAATGTTGTCTCTCAATAATTTAAATAGAACAAGAACATAACTTGTACTAAAATGTATTCTTAATACAACGCAAAGGATAAAACACAGTTTTATTTTATTTTATATATGAATTAACATTAATTCCTAGGTTATTCGACGTTTTGAAGTATGTAGTTTCATCATATTCTAGCTAGTCACATTACGCTGATGTTATAAATCCATACTGAGGAACATCAAACATCAAGGAACTTTAAAAATATACTGCTTCAAATAATATTAACAAACAACGCAATAGGAATAAAATAACTACAAAAACAAGGAAAATCAAATAAAATAAGTCCATGTGTTAGTGTAACTTACTGATTCAGAAATACATTTTTACCACCAAAATTCAAAGTTGTTACATAAATTAATGATTAAGTGTACCTTATTGTGAAACATGAATGAAAAATTTATATCTGTTGTAAAAATGTCATTCATTTAGGTTAGTTGAAAATTCCTTATAAAGGGGATGGATCTTGTAATTGACTTATAAATAATTGATTTAATATCGGGACATTAATTCTAAATATTGTTATTATAGTATTACTAAGACATTGAATAATATTCGATTTGTTTTTTATTATATGGCTTCATCCGCATTGGAAATTATTAGAATTTGCTAGATATTAATGAAATGTGACATACATAGTACTAGTCTTTATAAAAAGAGCTAAGACCTAAGTGTATTATGACATATATTGTTCAGAATATAATTTAAGAAGAAAATTATCTATGCAGTGTTCATAAATAAAATATCACAATATTACTTTTAGTCTTATTTCGAGGTTGATGTTCTGTGTTTGTATATATTTGTACATATAATAAAAATGCCTTAAATTAATTAAAATTCCCATTTACACAGATTGTGTAAAAAAAAACTAGTATACAAATTGTAAATAATGTTGAAGTCAGTGTAGAGATTTCATACATAAAGTGAGATTCAAGTACATATAAAAAAAACAGTTAATGAATAATCAGTATCAGTGTTTTTACTTTTAATCCAGCCTTTGTTTTTTGGACATGTTTAAGAATAATTTTATCGTTTAAAAATAGAAATTAAATATTGTCCAGGAATTATTTTTGTTATATTGTTGAGTTATATGTGAACACTTATGTTATGGAGTTCTTAATCATATTCTTCTTATAATTTATTGATAAATAGTTATTTGTCTGACATAGATTTATGTTTATTTGAAATGTTAATATAAAAAAGAACTAAGGTATCGGTATTACAAATATATGGTTTGCACATAAGCATTGAAGGCAGATCATTAATATAATAATTTTGTTTGTATGACAATATAATAAATAATAGAAAAGTATGAAAATTCATACAACTAACGAACTTTGAACCGTTATTGAGAGATATCTACTTGTTTAGTTATATTTAGAGTAGTGATATTGTCGTATAGTTAAAATTTAGACTAGTTTAGCGTTCAGGCGTTGCTCGACTCCAATTCAACGCCGGTGACGGTGGTGCTGAGGTTTCCATTGAGCAGGATATCTTGTAGTTGTTGACCTAACACGTTGGAGAGTGAATCGCTGAGTTTGTAGTAGTTCGTTTCCAAGGCTTCTTGATAGGTGACTTGGTCGGAGCTAATGAGTTTGGCGTTCAACTGCAGCGCCGCGTGACAAACAGTCAGGAACTCTCTGGAATAACGTTCATGATGATTTAATTTCTAATTCTTTGTTGATTATTATTATTGGTTAGTTGGTTTTTATATCACGACATCATCATCATCATCAGCCGAAAGACGCCCACTGCAGGACATAGGCCTCCCCCAAGGATATTACGACAGTATAGAACTAAATTGAATTTAATTTCCAATAGAATTTATTAATGAAACATGTATAGATGTATGAAGGGCATATGTTTCTGTAAGTGATTGTATATCATGTACCTATGGCTTGTGTTACTTTTTTAATTCAATTTATACAGGGTGACGGGTGAATTACTATCAATATTAAAGGAGAATACTCGGTACATGATTCTCATTCGAATTATGTAAAAAAGTAGGTTACTTAATTTTTTACCAAATTTCCGTATAAATAAATAAAGTGTGGACACGTTCCAAGTGTTCCAAGTTCGGACGCGTGCGTGTGTGTGTGTGTGTGTATACCTAATCTGTAGGGTGTTCACACGATGCGTAATTAATTACATAACTTTTGGTTAACTTTACTTAGAAGTTTATTAATATTTATGTTATAATCATTTTTATTTTGTCATATATGATCGTCAAATATCACGTCCTCAAGTATCGATAGTAATTCACCAGTCACCCTGTATAGTGTTTAAATATTTTAGTGTTTAAATACAATAAATTAAATATTCTGTGAACGATTCCATACATATTATTTTAATGAAGAAACATTATTCAAGTCATCATAATTTTCATAAGAATAATTAACACCCAAAATAAAAATCTTGGGTTCTACAATCAACTTCTATACTGCAAAAAAATTGCATATTTCAACATTTCTTACTTGAAAGTGGCCTTTAACTTTTCAACCATATCGTCAGGGTACATCGGCGCCAGCGTGGGGTCCAAAAATGCATTCGCGTACGCCAGCGGACCCGCGTTCACTTGTACGCATATACTGCCTTGGAGTCTGAAAGCAAGATCGTTGTTGATTTACTTCTAAGGATAACGACATAATTAAGGTTGATAAACCTGAGATACTAATAATATTTGGTACCCTAAAGTGACAAAAAAATATTTCTATTGCGAGCTTCTTTAAGATTTAAAAGAAACATGACCTGAATAAAGTACACGACGTACTTGTTGTGGGGAGATTTTCTAAACCTAATTCTAAATTTCTTAAGCAATCTTTAAATATATTAGTTTTATATTCCGATGTTAATAATAAAAGAATTTATATCGGTTTATAAACCAACATTCATATGTAAAACCGTCAAAAGAGTACATATGTATTTGATATGTGTGTATAATAAAAAGAAATAGTACAGAAAGGAGGTACGGTAACGTAACATGTCTTATTTAAATCTGCTAAGAAAAACTGATATATTCTACTTAGTCTGTACATTTTATGGTGACAATGTACGTTGATTTGCACTTCAACCTAACAAAAAATGGTTCTAAGTTTTTCTAAGTAGTTTATTCCAATATACAGTTATCAATTTCGATTATTACATCCTGAAAGTGGTAGCGTTCAACGAACTATGAACAGTCCCTATTTATGCCACTTTTTCCTCACAGACTTAAGCCTTTTGCTCTATTCCTTTCTGGCTAAAGATTTATCAACAGTGTTATACATGAAAAAATATACTTCAAAGTATACAATGTTCTTGTATAGACCAGTCGAATCAATGAAAAGTAGCCAAATAAATCTGAAGTTGTTCTTAAAAAAAGTTCTCATTGGATAATATTTTTTGCAATTATATTTTGAGAGAACTCTGATAGAACCGAAAAATCTTTATTTGAAGAACACCAGACGTTTTCGATGTTGAGCATTTTGAGTCTTAATAACAAGTTAAGAAGTTCTTCAACATGATAAGAGGCATTTGAAGGGAAGTTAGAGATCAAGGACCAAATTTATATGCGAAGTTAGTCGCTGAAACCACGGGGAAGAAAATGTGTTAAGAAAAATAAAAATTAAATATATAAGATTTTCGAGTATACTAAAATAGAACAAAGCTTTTAGGATACTACGAGTTTGTTTTGTAACATGATAGATGAATAATTAGACACTTTCATATCGTCTGCTCGTGATCAGGTTGGTGTAAAGGAACCGAAGCGTCGAGATTTTGTCGTAATAAACTATTAAAAAAAACATAGTATCAAAAAAACTTACGTTTCATTTGAAGCATAAGTTAATCAACTATTGAGAAAAGGCCAGACAGACACTCAAAATATAGGTTTTTTAAATATATTTTTACTCACACTTGTAAGTGCTAATATAAACACGTGCAAAAACCAAACGTTTGATCAAGTACTAATCTATCAAATAGCACACTGACTCATTAAGCTGTCTAGTTTTTGTTCTTTAATCATTTATTATTTTATTTATTAATTAAGTTTATTTTACATATTATTATCGTTCTAATATAGATAGTAGCGTAATATTTTCAAGTAGATCTTTTCTTATAAACTGCATATATACTGTTAATCCTACCTTAGTTGTAGTTTCTTGATGTCGGGTGATTTCGCATTGACTATTTCAGATAGTTCAGCAACTTGACTTTCCATTTCTGAAACGGCTACCTCTATTGGACTCTTCTCTTCTATCTGTGTATCTATAACTGGAACTCGACGTTTGACATATGGGAACCAGTTTTCAGCTAGAAGTAAAAGTAAACTAGATTTATCTTTCAGACATATAATTTTATTTTTAGAAGAATACTACGAATTTGAAGATTATTCGATCAATAAGAAAATATTTCTTTTGCGTAACTTAACGTACTTTAACGTAACCTGAATTTTTCGTATACGACAATGTTAAAGTAATGTATAAAATTTCTGATTTCCTAATAAACCAAACACTATATATGTACAAACCAGTAAGATGAGTGAGTCGCAATCTCTGATGATGTACAGGTCCTCTGGCTGCCCCGTCTCTAGTAAATGGTGTCTCGAACACGAATCGTCTTACATTATGTACCCTTTCAAACGACCCTTCCCCTCCGCTGATAGCTGTTCCCATACCTTCAGGCGAGGCTCGAACCCAAGTTACTTGGATATACGCCACCTTACTGTCCAATTCTTCACGATTTACCTGAAGTATTTTTTTCTTTTAGTATACCTCGGATAATTAGTTCCTAAATTCATTCATGACGCAATTTTTCTAATTATATGTAGATTGGGGATTTTATAGTTTTGGTCATAAATCTTTTGAAATTCAATTAAGCCGTTTTGCGGCTTTAAATAATAATTTTAAACATCTATTAAGAATTAGTTATTTAAAAATAATCCAGTTGGTATAATTTTAATAAGATCACGTTTAAATATGCAAAATAGCTAAATATTTACATACCGGCGCCGAATCCATAATCATCTTGACGTTGCCGGCCCCGAATTTATGCTCATAGAATGTTTGAAGTTTTTCCGATATTTCACTGAGTGACGTCAATTTAGGTTCCTTATAAATGAATTCAATGCCTTCTTCGTCTTCCCCGAAGTGGGCCTTTCCGAAGAACGCTACTCGGTAGAATCTTCCTAGAAGCCTTTTACCGGAGTTTGTCACCTCAATGACCTTGGCGTAAGCTTTGGTTAGATGTTGGTAGCAAGTGAGTAAGGCCTGATAATCCTTTTGCTTCTCATATATTGGTATTACAAGACGATACAGAGGGCCGAGTAGTTCATATCGTTCTGCTTTATCCACATATTCCGTACACAGCATCAGTTGTTCAAGGAGTGATTGTTCGTTGTAATGGACATCTGTCATACCTAAAAATAAAATCTTATGTAATAGGTTGAATTGATATTCTTAATAACTTTATAGTCCAAGATCCCATGGCTCCCAGACCTTACTTATTTTTCCGATGGACGAAACATTTATGATAGGTTAGTATTATTGTGTACATTAAACGTAAACATGTAGGTAAGTAAATTTTACTCACTTTACTTTATAGTCTTAGCTTTGATTTTTATGTATTTTGTAGGGAATATTGTAAATAATTTAAACTTAATACTACTACATACTTTTTGTTGGTAGAATTTTTACCAGACATTTTAAATATAGTCACTAGACAGCAAAAAACAAAATCAGCATGCATGATAATTATGTGCCTTTTAAATACTATTTCATTAAATATTATCTTGTAATTAGTCCAATGCAAAGTTTTAATAATAATTAAATGATTTATTATCATGTAATTGTCCAAACAATTGCATGATAATGCTAAAATTATAAGAACTATTAGATTTTTTTAATGGATGATGGAAATCTGGATCCTAGTATTGGTCTGACAAATAACAAAATACATTTAAATAGCTCCCTAAATATTACAGTTGAAAATCAAGTGTCAGACTGTAACAAAAACTGTGTTTTTTGATGTCAAATGTAAATTTTTTCTACCTACATCACTTGCTACCTGAGAACTGGTACCAGAAGAGACCTGGTCGTCGGTATATCTTAGCAGATATGTTAACATTTACTGTACACACTAATATTAACAATATTATTATTATATATGTATGTTTTGTTCATCAAAAATAAGAAGGTTTGGGGGCGCTGGGATCTCGCTCTATAAGATCTAGTATACTACTATGTTAGATATTATTAAAGTATGTCATTAATCTAAAGCATAAATCATTGATGGGATATGTACATGACATACTACCCGCATCGTCATATTGAGGCATGAAGATATGACACTTGATCCATTTTATGTTTGCTAAGAGAGTGGTTTTATTTTCTATCTTTATATAAATCAAGTAGTATTTAAAATATGATTTTATTAGCATCATAGGAAATAGATACTGTTTAAAATAAATTTAAATAAATGATATAAAGAAAAAACAACCTTGAATTTTGATCAAAGTAAATTTCCTAAACTGTTTATCATTTATTTTTATGTTTGATAACAATAATTTTAGCTTTAATTGTAGTAATGGTTTAGCGCAACAATGGAGGTTAAATTAGTTTTTTTTTTAATATACAACAATCATATACATACATATGTAATTTATTTTATTAAATAATTTAAAAACTACATACAAGGAAAAAATTTATTATTAGAACGAATTGTTGTAACAAATGTGAATAAATATGAAAAGTAAGATCAAATAAGAAAAAATTACAGTAATTTCTTTTAAAAATAGTCTATTGTGTGATTTGCTATTATTTTGACTATAAACTTATTTGAATAATATTTCGAACTATGTAGTATGTATTAATATATACAAATAGAATGCACCTTATGTCTTTATTAAGCAAATGCTATAATCACATGCTTATCCAAAGACGTATCAATGTACGTGCAGAGAAATAATTTATAAATTAATTCGACATGTATAGATTGTTTGATTTCATGGTGGAGTTGTTTCAGTATAAATATTAAGGAAACTTGTGCTATATACAGATTACTGTATTATAAATAAGAGTGTTGATTAGAAAAACGACTGATGTTCGTTATGTACTTGAAGATAGTGGGATAATTATAACAATTATTTTTTTTAAAGTGAAGAAAATTGTGTGTTAAAAATGGAGGATGTGTTAATTTAAGTGATATTGTCTTTAAAGTTCTACGAGTTAAGGTTTAAATTACTATAAGTCTTTTTAATGTTATGTAGCGTACATCTTCGTCTGAAATTACTATGTAGTTTTATACATTTTACCCGATTGTATTAGTCACAAAATTCACGGATTGAGGCGCTAAAAAAGTCATCAGCTGGCTTCGAGGTATTGTAATTAGTTCTGGATATTATATGAAACAGTCGCACTCTGTGTTTAATAATGGTACACTATATATTGAAATATGAAATATATTTGTTTAACATAATATATTTTTACTATTTACTTGAAGAAGTTTACAGATTGCGATATCATTAAATATTTTTTACATTATTATTGCAATCCTAGGATTGGCTTACACTTACGATTAAGTTAAATTAGATCTAAAAAAAAAGGTAATTAAAAACCGAATTCAGCAGTAAATAAAACAACTTAAGGCACATAATAATGTTTTTTAAAGTTGAATTTTATTATTGTTAACAATCCAAACTGGTTAATTAAGATTCAAAGTGTTTAATATTTATGACTTTAAAATATTTATGATGAAGCTTTATTTTAAAGAAATTAATCGAAAAGTAAAAAGGTTTATCATATAATTATCAGATTGCTCTAAATGGATACAAACTTAGATGACTATTTATTTTTTAATTCATTATAATCTGAATGCTCGTCTTCTTATTGTAAAAATATGCATAATTTGCAGAGTATTCTTGTTAATGTATGAAGTAACTATAAAATATTGCATTGCCAACAATCTTTAATATAAATATTTAATACATATTTATGGTTTTTCTGTTATTTTAATATACTGTGTTCCAAGTTATTTATAAGCTAGTTTAGCTACACGGCAATGTAGTAGAAACCATAGAATCACCATACATAATGCTCTTCATTAGCATGTTTCTTTCTATTTTAGTAATTTAAATGAGACTTATAATTAATTATATCATGCCTCACAAACGTTAGTAATAGTTATCACACAGTAAATTCTTAACAAAAGTTAGCACAGGTCGTATTGTGCGATAATTTTGCACCGTTCAGAGGTACCGATCCAGACCGCTATAGATGTAATAATATCTATATAAATGATGTAGAGGCTCCCGGTACGGCAGTCGAAAACAGCTCGCGACCGAGCGTAGATAATGCCGATAAAATCACTAGTTACTAGTTAACAATAAACATGAAGTCGTTTTGTTGGATAGCCTTTATGGTGGTGGCTGTGTGTGGTGAGGATGAGACACGTCAGAATCCATCTGTAGTTGGTCGCAGGCGAAACGTCGGTGGATTGAATGAAGACGCCGAAAACACTGAATTAGTTCAGGCTTTCGTGGTAGGTTTTGTGCTCAATGAACTGTTTTATCACTCATTGTATACGGAGTCTTATTAGAAAAAAATCGTACAATATAAATTTAAATACTATATAGATTAATAGATTAGTGCTCGCTTTAGGTTTTCCGTCACGGCGATAGGACACCAGATGAGGCTGAGATAGAAAAGTATCCCGCTGATGTTAAAAATAATGATATTTTCTTCCCTTATGGAACTAAAGCATTGACTAATGTAAGTATGTTTTATGTTTAATTAATTAATAAAGTTCATATATCTTATATATATTTTACGATAAAGAAAGGGAAGCAGCGAGGATACCTCGTAGGAGAGTATCTCAGAAAACGCTACGACAACTTCATATCTCGCTTATATCTGCCGGACGAGATTTCAATACGAACGACAGCCTTCGCACGGACTAAAATGACGGTGTTGACTGCTCTGGCCGCATTATATGTACCTCCACCAGCACAGAAATGGAACCCCTTCCTCAATTGGCAGCCCGTTCCATATGACACCATGGCGAAGGAAGACGACGACGTGAGTAATAACCAGAATACGTTAAAAAACAATCAAAGCTAATTAGATCTAGTCGTTAATTCAAGAAGTAGTCATAAGCCGGAAAATTAATATATATATAGCCTTTAATATACAGGACTATTCGTATATGTAGCGGAGACTATTATGCAATTGGGTTATTCAAATTGAATAATAAGATGAGCGCCATTACCTGTTGGTCCGGTTTTTTACATGTCCTTATATTCTCAATTAAATGTTATGTAATTATATAGTGAATGAGACGTGTCAATAGTATATTATTTCTATTTATATTCTATGTGTATGTTATATGAAATGCGTTTATTTTTATATTTTATTTTTGTTATAGTTAATGTATTACTACAATTGCCCACGTTATCTACAACTGAAAGATGCTGTAAACGAGTACCCAGAGTTCCAAACATCGGTGAAATCCTACGAAGGATTATTTAATTTTATAAGTTCACAAACTGGAACTAATATCACAACTCCTGATGACGTTTTCTTCCTAGATAATCTCTTTCAAACATTGGTAAGTAAGAAGCTATGATCAATTTGTTTTATTGCACGATAATATGGCGATATAACATATAAAAATATTTATTAATATTAAAGGAGAACGTTGGCGTGAGCCCTCCAAATTGGGCACAAAAGGTTATGCCGAAAATAAAGGAAGTGACAAAATTAGAATACGCAATGGAATTTTATACGAGTGAGGAGATACGATTGGCCTCAGGTAGGTAATTTAATGATGGTTGATTGTCTTTTAAATTTCAGCCTACATGTCTCCATAAGTTACACTACTGACAATTAGCACACAATTCCGTTTTGTACTTCCTACCTGCGAACTAAACAAACACTAAAATATTCTGTTCCATTTTTACATCACCTCATCTCAACAATATAGACAAAAAAATTCAATGTCAAATACCGGTGCAATGATTATTTCGCAGGAGTCCTTCTAATGGATATACTAAACGCGACGAGCTCCGTGATAGCAGGTGATAAAGATCGCCCGAAACTATATTTAATATCTGCTCATGAAAACAATGTAGCCGGGCTGATGGCAGCCATAAGGGTATTTAAACCTCATCAGCCAAGATATGGGGCAACCATATCGCTGGAATTGAGGAGGAAACCATCGACGGGGCAGTACGGATTTATGGTAAATAGTCTTTGGTTATTAACATATAAACATAAAACGAAACCGCAATATTTAATCAGAAAAACTTTAATACGGGTAAAAAATTTATTTGCTTTTTCCTCATAGCAGTTTGTAAAAACTAACAATATTAGTATCCGTTTAAGCCTTTCAGCTATGAGTCAGCAACGATGACAATAATTACACTATCTGTGAACTAAATTTTGGTATTTCGCTTATTTATCTTTAATTAATCATTAAATTAATTATTTATGGTTACATTAAGCGAAGTTTGCTTTTAATTAGTATATAGATGAGTGTACAGAAATTGTTGTTTTAAAAAGTTCATAGAAAAGAGACACATTAAGATTGCGTATACTGTATAAGTTTTAAGTATTATTTTATAATTAAGGAATTTTATTTAAGGTTATTATAATAATGTATTTATTAGGCTGTGTATGCGGGTAATGCTGGAGGTCCAGGAGAGATTTTGCCCATCGCTGGCTGTGGAGGACAAGCTTTCTGCGATTATAACACCTTTATAGAACTAACACGAGATAATGTATTGCCGAGAAGTGAATTCAAAACTCAGTGTTCTAGTTAATAAGGAACAATTTAGTAAATTTTTATTCTATTCCGTTAAAGACAACGGATATTTCATATAAATAGTAAAATGTTTACGTCACAATACATTAAAATGTATTTTATATTATTTTATTTTTATATAAAAATTGTTACATAGTTATTTTAACAGCAAAATGTTGTTAAGAAAAATAAAATGAATGGCTGTGATGTTGTTTTTTTTTATTCAAGTACTTCTTGAAACAAATTCTATCTTCAGTTACTTATCAATATATATTACGAATTTTTTATGTATATTTTATTCCCAGATTTGAAGAAATATTTAAAATAAAATACCAAAATATTTCGTAAAATTTTACAATTCAAAATAATTTTAAATTTTAACTAAATGATATTATTCAATTATTGAATTGCTGGTAGATAAGAATGTATTGGATTGATTTGTTAGACTAATATGCGGGACGGCTATTATATTATGACTTCAATCCCTACTAATCCCTACTAATATTATAAATGCGAAAGTAACTCTGTCTGTCTGTCTGTCTGTCTGTCTGTCTGTCTGCTACGCTTTCACGCCTAAACCACTGAACTGATTTTAATGAAATTCGGTACAGAGATAGAGTTGACCTTGAGAAAGAACATAGGATAGTTTTTATCCCAGACTTTTGAAAGGTTCTCTTGGAAACGCGATATAACCGAACTCCACGCGGCGAAGCTGCGGGCGGAAAGCTAGTACATATTATAAATGCGTTGAAAAGATCGAATGGTGAGTATTTTATTTTTAAAAACTGATATACAAAAAGTCTATTAAAGAAGGTATGTTTTTACTTAGTTTTAATTAATAAAAAATTTTTCAGCAATGTTATCAAATATTTTGACTGTACACATTTAACTAAAAATTTGTAAATTTTTGCATATTAAGCGTTTATTTATTATTTTATATCTACACGATAGCGAAGTTTCTCTTCCTACATCCCGACGATAAAAGTGACACTTTCAATACCCTTGATCACGGTTGATAAAAAGTAAAGGAAACATCAGTACTATATAGATATTAAATTATATAAAAAACGCTTAGAATCTGAAAAAATGAATCACTTAAATTTCAATTTTATGTATTCATATTATTTCCTCTATATGAATTAAACGGATATTTTCAAATGACACAGTAGATAAAATACTCTTACATTGAAACCTATAAATTCACCGCCTCATATAATTGTTATATTGTTGCTTTTATTGCTAATTTATTAGGCACTGTAGGCTTTTCAATATCCCTTTAGTATGGCAACGTAGGAGGCTGCCACCTTCGTGACTAGTTATCACTAGTTTTAATTTGCCATTTGACCTACTAATGTTATATTACTGGTCTATCAAATAGTTTAATCTGTAAGTCATTGAAGAAGTCTGATTACGACGCATTATAAAATTAAGGTAGACAATTATTTGATCTCATTTTGTAAAATTAACCTTCGAAATGTTTATCTTTTTTATTTTTAAACTGGAGTGTTCATGATCACTGAAATATATATAGTATTTATGTTTTTTAAAGTAGGTTACTTCTCAATAGCATTGACGAGACACAATAGTCAGTTAATTTATATAAAATAATTCTTCATTATTGATCCATGGTATAATATAATATATATTTATTAAAATAAATATTATTATTAAAGTTTTTATTAGCATAGCATATGCTGATAATGCTCTGCCTATATATTATCTTTGTTATGAGATTTGACTATTTGATTTTAAGATTCCATATTACAGATTGTGATTTTATTATTATATAATATTTACAAATAAAATGCTTTTCGACCGTGACTTAGTTTTTCTATAAATATTTACTGACATAATATAATATTATTGCTTTACAATGCATTTGAACTTCTTTTTGAGATAAAAGCGTTGTTACCAAATAAAAGTTTAAAAATTCGTCAGATTAAATTAGTTTCTGTAACCACTTGTGAAGATCAACTGTTACACAAATATTGTGCACTTTTTATATATAATTAGATTTTCTCTCTGTTTACCATCTTTTCGACTGTCGAGGATTATCGGATCTATTGTGAGTAATTTCTTAGTTGTAATATATTTTTTCACACATTTTCTAATCTCTTAGTGTATATATTTATTTATTTATTTATTTATTTAAAAACTTTATTGTCTAACTACACACGTAGATACAAAAGGTGGACTTAATGCCTCTCTGCCAGTCAAACCTTAGGAAAAGCAGAAAAACATGAAGACGGTAGCAGTATGTAAAAGAAAAATATACATATAATATAATATGTACATTAGATATAGATTTTAATAATAGTAAGGAAACCACGTGAAATGATATTTGATTGTAGGTATTGTAAATTACACGTGTGCAATGATGGGCTGGGTCACAGTGAACTGTGCATTTTATTAAAGGAAATAAAAAAGCAAATGAAAAGATAATCTTTGCAAGGTATTTTGGTAAGAACAATTTTACACCAATATTTACGTAGACAAAAACTTCGTTGAAAAACGAATGCCTCTACAAAATTTTATTAGTCTCAAGGGATATTAAATATATGTTATACTATATTATTTCTATTATCGTCTATTTTTTAGATTTCACTTGCACGTGTGGAAGGCATAGAACAATAAAATTTTTAAGCATCGCTTAATCTACTTTAACCACGAGGCTTTTCTTGACATACTTATGAATAAATTTGATATTATTTTTAAATAAAAAAGAAAAATATTTCTTCCGTTTAGTTTAGTTCCAGATTACAAAGAATACGCTTTAAAATCTTACAAGTGATGTATTTTTAGAAAGAAGGACAATAATACAGAATTCGACGAAGGGGACAAACGGAAGGCATAACTCGTTCGTACACAGGCATAGCAATCTTTTAATTCACTTCACTCTATTAGATAGAAGCAACCGTTCCTGATCCCATACGAGGGTCGTGCAAATTGTTTAGATGCTATACTATTAAAGCTTCTGTACGATTTGCATATATTGTGAACGTACACAATAAAAATCCGTGGGATAAATTCAGTACAATACATCCTTAACTATACATGCAACACCAATAACTTGCATGTCACATACAATAACTTATTCTATGTAATCTGAAACGAGATAAAATCTATCAATACATTGTGATGTGGACAAGGGCGTCACCGGGGCGCAGGTCTATACAAATTGCATGTCTGTTCGCGTGTGTGTAAATATAATAGTACAATCGATTGGACGATGTCAATCATCTGGTAGGTCAGAACGACCGTGAAACTGCCGAGCGTCCCGTGTTCATCTCAGTGGGACATCAATTCGCGCACCGAACACTTCCGTTCTTTTATATATATACAGTCAATTTCGTGTGCATTGTAACATGATACAGATTTAGATATATCTATATATATAACAATAAGTGAATAAAAAACGTCTGCTATATATTTAAAATGTAGAGCTGTCAACCCGCCGGAGGAAAATGTAAGGTTTATGTTATAAGCATTTAAATTTAATTTAATTATAGGATAAATATTAATCTTAGATTATTTATGATGAGATTATAGACGTGTTGCATCAGGTTTGTAAAGTTTAGTCCGGTTGTAACTAGATTATCTGTGTACAATTAAATGCCACATACCTACTGCAGGTACGGGAAAAAATGATATTTGAGATTTTTTGAAAGTTTCAGTTGAAATGAAGTTTATTCTATAATCAATTATTTTGTGATCGTATAATTAATTAATTGAAACATCTATATAATAACACTACATTTACTTTTAAAACGATGAACCCTTACGATTGAATAAATCGAACTGAAATTATTTTTTTAATTCTATCTCTCATAACAATATTAATATATAATAACAATCTTAAATGTATTAAACCATCTCAAATGTAAAAGTGTTTTTATGTGACTGTTCTTGATATAGGAAAGAGGGCGGTAGCGAGGAGGTGCCAACCAACGCGGCTGATGAGCCCAGCATGAAGACCGAACACACTTGCTGTTGTCTAGGCGTGTTGGTGGGCGTCTCTCTCATCGCCGGTTTGTATATACTATATACATTAAAAACTTTTTGGTAAAACCTACTATGTTCAAATATATCTGGCAGCCGATGAACGTCAAACAGCAAAAATAAAAAATAGATAGAAGGAAGGTAATTCAAACCTTTCCTCATGTAACTCTTGACTTGGACACTCCATGCTAAGTATATCTATTACCTTGCAATACAAACTAGCATGTTCATTTCAATGATAAAGACCTGAAGAATACTTGTACTCTTCTTCTTCTTCTTCTACCTGGCAATTTCCCAGCTATAGCCAGGGTCTGCCTTACATGTTATGAATAGTTTTTGGTTATTTGTTTTTACGACCGGCCGCCTGCCTGACATCAACCCTCTTTTGGGAATCAACATTAATCAGTGATGTCTAAATACTCTTAGAAAGTACATATGATTCGGAAAAATCACATTGGTACTTGCCCGGGCCAGGATTGAACCCGCGCCCTCGGCGACGAGAGGCCGAGAGGCGGGCCCTTTAACCACTGAGCCATCACTGACTAAGAATACTTGTACGTGGTTATTAAACCATTCAAAAGTATAAAAAATACAAGAAGCAAAATGCTGATACTCTAAATGAGAAAGGTTATATTGGAATTATTTTTAGTGAAATATTAAAAAACTCCTGATCCGATTTGTATAGATTATTACATTTAGGTAACCAAAGCGTTGGCCTGATAGGAAAAGCTATTTTTTTATTCACGCCTCTAAAATGGCGAAGATAAACTACGTGATAAATACTCTAAGTAATTCTGAATACATTTATTTCTTTAAGAAAATGTACGTATATGCCATATCCAAAAGAAAATTCTAATATTATTAATGTATTTAAGAATGGACTATAGTTCGATCATGAATGTAATCTTTAATTAAATTAATTACTTGATCCAGCCCTCGTAGCAGTCATACTAACGAAAGACACTACAGTTGAAGTTACAGTATTACGACAAGTTCACGTGGTAAGTGTTATAATGCATTCAATTAATAATTTAAATAAATCTATAAACAAATATTCTTCGTTTTCTTCAATATATAATAAATAATTTAGTATATACCAAGAAGGAAAACTGCTATGTATTTGAAATAATTATGCTTGTATTGTACTAGTTTTCCGCCCGCAGCTTCGCCCGCGTGGAGTTCGGTTATATCGCGTTTCCAAGAGAACCTTTCAAAAGTGTGGGTGGGATAAAAACTATCCTGTTCTTTCTCAAGGTCAACTCTATCTCTGTTAAAAATTTCATTAAAATCAGCTCAGTGGTTTAAGCGTGAAAGCGTAACAAACAGACAGACAGAGTTACTTTCGCATTTATAATATTAGTAGGGATGTTATTGTAAGAATGATTTATTGGCAGTTAATGTCGCACGGGGAGCGAACGCCAAGTGAACGTGAATTGGAGATGCTGGGGACGCCTCCATCGGAACACGTTTTTGTACCGTACGGCGCAGGAGCATTGACTAATGTAGGTATAAACAGAAAATACACTGATATTTCTATGTATAAAATTTAAATCATGTCGTAAGAGCCAGGTAGCGCTATGTCATCAATACCATTAATCCATTTTGCATGGTAATTGTAATCCGTTTGATGCGAAACCTTGACGTGAGAGCACATTTTAGCGTATTTCCTCAATCAAATTAAACACGAGTTGTGCAAAATGAATACGACTTTGCTATATGATGGTTGATTTGATAAACATTTTATATGTAGAATTGGTCACGGTTAAATTTTGATAAGGTGGTAATATGTTCGTGATATTCGAGGGTCGGTCAGCGAAACTCTTAATGACGCGTCCATTTCCCGGTGGAGGGATTCATGAAGGTCGCCGTCTGAACAGGAACGAAGTGTCGACCCGTTGATTACTGTCGCTGCCTAACAATGATTTATGATCTGCTACTCACACAACGTCATATATATTGAGAGCGTCTTAACTATATATTTTCAATTTTTTTAAAGGAAGGGAAGCTCTTGACGTACGAGATGGGCGCATTACTTAGAAAAAGATATAACGATTTCCTGGGACCGTATTACGAAGCTGGTAAATAATTTTAATTGTATTATTAAAAATTAATTAAACTTCATTTTTGTAATTATGTAATAATATAATGTCATTTAGAGGCAATTGTGTAAATTACGTTAAATTCTTTGAATATTTTTTTTCAATATTTAGACGTGTTCCAATATATTTTTTTGTAGAAAAAAGCATTGTAATAGCATCAGATACGAATTTGAGCAAGATGACTGCGTTGTTGATAGCGGCTGGGTTATGGCCACCGCTTTTAAATCAAATGTGGAACGAATCCATAAGCTGGCAGCCAGTTCCTTACACATATCCCCCTAGAAGTGAAGACTACGTAAGAAAAAACATTGTATACACCACCTATATTTGCTTGAAAAGTCAGCTATCTATTCTATCTTGTAATCTAGGCCTTATTATGAAACTTCTAGTTTTAAACCTTTTAAATGTATTGAAACAAATAAATTAAATTACGAATAACAAAAATGTTCTTTAATTTTCCAGCTTTTATACGAAGAGAACTGCCCACGTTACAATCAAGAGAAACAAAGACTATTGAAAGACTATATCGATGAAGGACTACTTGTACCGTATAGGGATTTCTTTCACAAAATAGCACACATGACAAATACTAACTTCAGTACTCCACAGGACGCGTACAATTTAAACAACTTATTCGTAATACAGGTAAGCTATTAAACTGAGTATCAAAATACATAATAGATTTTCTTCATGTTTTTGACTATTAAATACTATATAAGTATGTCATGTACTTGTTATTTTATTGTTCTATCTAACTCGCAAGTTATTGTTCAGGACGATATTAAAGTCGCGAATCCAAAATGGGCCAAGCATGTGAAAAGAAAATTGATGGACATCGCTCGATTGGAATACACCATGATGTTTCATAATAATCTTCTGAGAAAACTCAGCGGAGGTAAATATTTACAAAATTTAAAACTATCAGTTGATATTAGTATATTTTATATATTTGAATAAATTGAGCTAAATTTAGACGAAATAAGAAATAACATTAATATTAAAAGGGACTAAAAGTTGTCCTAGTTTGATAATATCACTAGAATTATTCGTAATACCCCCCTTGTAAAAGTTGAAGGATTTTCATACGAACGAACGACGAACCATAACAAATGTATAATAAATTTCACCGAAATTTAATACCCATGTAGTATATCTCAAAAACATATGTATTTATACAGTTTAAATGTATACTTTTCACGATTACTGTACAATACAGGTGCTCTACTGCAGCAAATTATAACGGAAGCTATATGGAACACGAGAGATGTCAATAGTCCGAAGGTGTTAGTTCGTATCGGTACCCCAGTGTCGGTGGCGGCGCTACTGTCGGCGTGTGTGGCGCCCCCGCCGAGACTACCGGACCCGGGGGCAGCCTTGCTGTTTGAGTTACACGAAAAACAACCTTCCGCGAAAGGAAAGAAGGATAAAAATGACTTGACACACGGACAGCGATTTGGATTTAAGGTAATATTTATACGGCAGCTTGTTTAAGAGCTTTATCGAGCGTATTCTAGGGTTCTCATAACTTTTTATATCTATCGTATATCAATTGTATAATTATTTTTGTTCCAGATATACTACTGGGATGACGATTCAGCGGAGCCTCGACTAATGGAAGTTCCCGGATGTAACGCATTCTGCCCTTTGGATACTTTCTCTAAGATAACAAAGAACATTGTGTCCCACGATTATAAGAGAGACTGTGAACTAACATAGTTGAAGAGAAACATTGAATATAATATAGTATCACGCACAGCTTGATTAAAATTTAATGTTAAGTCAGAAATAAACAGCTTGTAAAACAATACTAACTCCTTTAAACAATGTAATATTAATGGGTTATAGCCTAAATAACAGGTAAATTAACGGTATCACTTACCCTCGTCTATCTTAAGGCCGATTTCATCTTTAGGTATGTTCAAGGACAAGTCCGCGAATGCCTCGGAGCCCCATGTTTGAGTTCCTCGCAGTTTGAGGTATTCTGCTATCAGAGCAGCAATGTGAAGTTGGCAACACATGGCCTGCAAACAAAATTGTGATTAGTATAATAGTGACAGTTTTTTACAGTTAGGTATTATAATCCATTTAAGTGTGATTTTGTTAAGTTTAAGAATACTATATGTGTACCATTACATATGTCCGATGAAAAATCTGTTTTATTCTTGCCTTTGCACAACAAAATATTATATAAGTTATCCTACAATATTAAATACTGTATTCTATTAGTATATGTCACCTCGTCGTGGTCGTTGTGCCGCACGTTGTGTTCCGCCAGTGTCGCGAGCCAGGCGTGTCGCAGGCGGGGCGTTGCGCGACACGACGCTGCCAGCGCGTGCTGTAACTCTGATAGATGAACGCTACCAGCACCTGGAGTAAAGAAATAATGGATAAGGCTTGAGAATAACGCTATTATTCGCTAAACGCTAAATTATTATTGTTTTACATTGACAATATCAGATAGAAACTATGTTTTAGTGTCTTTAAAAAATGATTACCGTGTCCAGCGACCCCGCCCACTCCAGCCAGCCTGGCCCGCGCCCCCACCACTGTGCGCACGCGACGCATTAGCTCCGCAACCTCACTTGAGAGACCTGTTAGATTTATATACATAATTAATGTTATGCATAGCATTTGTTGTATAACATAACTTTAAAGTTCCAGAAGTTTCCAGAACTTCATAGTTGCAAGTGAGAGTATTCAAAAATATTGATATAAGATTTGAAAGGATAAAATTTAAATATGAAGGTTTATTTTAATTGAGAAATTATAGAGTATTAAAATTAATATTTAATACATATAGTACATTTCTACTTTTGGTCTTTTACTAACTTTCGTATTGTTTATGTCATAATATCTATTTTCCTACTAGCAATTATTCAGGTGACCAATGTATTCTGGTGGTCTAGTACTAGATTCAGACGTAAATTTATTAGTTTTTGAACAAAACCGATCCTGCTACGTACCAGTTCCTTTCATAGCTTTATCACCAGTAGCGAAGCAGTTTATCACTGATAGAGATTCCTGGAACCGCTTGCAGTTCAATACTGTAGAACTATCCAGCAGTTTGGAAACAGCTATTATCACCTAAAACAGACAAAAGGCCTTAGCTTTGTTATTATTTCTATACCAAAAACCAATTAGATATTTGTCAGACCAAGTTGAGCTATTTTAGCGAGCTAGTATATAGTTTTCTATATAATAGTTCAAATATACCTGTAAATGTACTCTAGTGAGGTTTCCCTTCTCGGCGTGTTGAAAGTTAGCCCTCATGAGAAGGTAGAGGGCGGCGGCTGCTTCTCGCCTCAACCAGGCAGCACGCGCTGCGCACAGGCGGACAACTGCGCATACTACACCCGCACATACTGAACTGCCACCTACAAAACAATGTATTAATAAATTCTGAGGCTTAAAACTTTCTTAGAAATTAATAATTGTTTAATTTAGAAATTAATACTCGTTCAACATAGGCTAAATATAGGACAGTCTTAATCCTTACAATATAGACCGATTCTTAAAACTTAAAATAGGAAGGGAGTGGATCGATAACACATGCGGATTTTTTAAATTATGATTAAAAAACTTAATATAATTCAGTATTGTTATTCTTTTATTCTATACAAAAATTATTTATTTTGGACAGAACTCAAAATTTTGGCATATAGATGAATAAACGAAACTAGAAGTACATGGAATATACATGAATAAGATTCTAATTTGATGTTTATTTATTTACCTTCGAAAAGTGTTTCTGAGTACTGATTGATATAAGCCCGGAGGGCGGCGAATAGATGTTTATATAGAGTTTCACTTTGAGGGCACTGCAGCAATTTTAGATACGGTTTAGCGGCATTTCCTTCTGCCGGTCCTAAGTTTCTCATAAAAAGACACGCTCGGTCTATAATTATTAGCCCCACTTCCGTTGCTAAGCACCCGGCGGATAACACTGCATGTTCGGACATCATTTCAAGTTCTAGAACAAGAAATTTAGCATATTTGAATGAAATATCATGTATAATATGTACAGTCATATTGTGAAAGATTATGTAAAAAAATGTATCTGTCTAAAACGCTCACAACTAAATTAGTACGTAATATTTTGTTTCGTTTTCTCATTAACCACATATATCTTATTTATTTAAGGCATAAAGATGTTTGAAAATATGTCGTTGGGTCATAAAACGTACCACTAGTGACTGTTGGGTTGACAAGGTTTTCTCTATTGACGGTGTTATTTTTTTCGACCACGATGGGCGGCTCCTTCGAGAAGTCTGGTGGACTCATCCTGGCGGGCAGAGTCCTGGCTTTAACTGGTTTCAGTTTACCGTTACAATCAGGTGACGGCAAACTCAATTCGGACAAAATCTTCTTTCTTCCCACGTATTGAAATTGTTCGGCACAAATCCTAGAAATACAAATAGAAACTTACAATTACGATTGCTCTTATTGGAGTTAAGAGAATTCTACAATTTACTAGATATTTGTACAGTAACATAAAAAAACCTGCATGTTCTGTATAACATTTTAACATGCGTGAATTATTTATTACTTGGATAGAGGTAAACAATTATTCCAAGACCCATACTTACTCTAAGACATTAAAGAAGGCCTGTTGTTGTACACGGGAATGTGTCCGCCACCACTCCAACAGTCGTTCGTCGTCCAGATACTTGAGAACAAACAGGAAACATAGCAAAACATCTCGCACTTCTTCCGGAGAGAGTACGCCGAACCTAGGATCAATCATACAATATTTATATAAACGTTACATGTCCTTAATTATTTACAAATTATTACTATCCCATAATATACATATAAATCATATTTAATTTAATAATCGATACAAAAAAAAATAACAAACATTCTGCATTAGGTAACTCGTCATTAAATGAGACTTTCCAGCTCTTTTTTTGTTTAGAATATTGTTATTTTAAAGACTAGATATAACTCTAGCAGCTTTTGCTCCAAAAACAAGTTTAGATGATATCACTTTTGAGGTTTCCATGTTTAACCCAAATCTACCATATATTTAAATGAATATCTATAAAATAACTTGGCAACTTTGTTTTGGTCTTGAATATGCTTATATAGAAAGCTAAATAAAACTTTGTATCTTTCCCAACAACACCTTACGTAATACATAGTGTACCTGTTCACTTGGTCACCGATATCGCTCAAATCTAACCGAGCGTTACGTGGCAACGAGTCTCCCCCGGACATAGTGGACACTGACTCGAGGGAGCTTTGCGACATGTTAGTTGCGTTATCTACAAGGGAAAACATTCACCATGACACACAAACACATTACATTTATCACATGAAACCCTTAACCCAATGAAAAGATATAATAGTTACCTTTTCCATACATATTCGGGGGTTCTTTAAAGTGGGTTGAGTTACGTAGCGGCGTGTGGTCGAAGTGTAATGTGAGTCTGTTTCTGCGTGGAGTGCTGTTAGCGGAGGCGGCTTCCTTCTGTGAGCTGATGATAGCGGGCATACAAGTGCCATCTCCATCCACTCTGTCATGGCCGTTTTCTAACACCGGACTGGCCAAGGTTTTAGTGACGAGCCGGTGAGCGTTATCTGAAATCGATGGCATTTTTATATCTCAGGGAATAGAAGTTTATGGTTATATTATATTTTTATATTCTTAACTGGTGCGAGAGTTTTATGAGGTATATACGTTACAAGTTTTTTAGAAAAAACCTTAAAAATGATTTAATTGAATCATCCACTTGAAATCATCCACAGAGGATGACTGACTGAATTTACGTCAATTTAAGTCATTAAGACAGTAAGAAGAAATTTTCCTTTCTTAAAATTTTCTTGGTTAGTTCTTTGAGTAAATTCTACAGTTTATCCATTAAGTAATGATATATATCCATACCCAGCACGACCGTAAGCCACGGTGCATACAGCTGCGCCAGTCGTGCGCGTGCTTGCCTTGTCCGGTATCGATCGTCGTGCTCGTGTTTGGTGAGTAACGCGCGTAGCACGCCCAGAGACACGCGACGCTTGCTGGGAACCTCGCGGAGAGACTGCTCCACCTGACACATTCGTGTATTAATGCTTATACTAAAATGGATCTACATATGTATATGGATTTTGCTTGAGAGTTAAACTGAAAGGAGGCTGCTCCACATAACTTTTGTATTACATGAAAACAAGATAACGTGATCGCAGTGATAGCTGTATTTTTTTTCATAATATATTTGTAATCATACGGTAGAAAATTAATATGAAGATTATGGACTGGTAAGCATTACATGCTCAGACTTCTTCGTAAAAATGATACAGTTAACAGTTCCCTTTTAATAGTTTTAATTGTACGTCATAATTTATATATGTGATTTTGAGTCAGTCAATATTTGTTTTTTTCACATTTAATAGACCGTAGTGGATGAAAATAATGGAAATAAGTTTATTGTTTATAAGTATATAAAAATTGTAAAACCTATTAAAAATTTTATATGTAAGGATAAAAAAATAAAGGATAATTTTTTTAATACCTGTTTTAATAGGATACCAGCTAGAAAATGTCTCATTATAAAGTCTTCAGACAATCTTAGCTTTGATGGATCTAAAATAAAGTATTTTATTAAACTATGAAAGTAACTATGATTAGCAACAAATGTTTTATTTTAATATTATCAAGACGCTACCTTCATTTTCATCTTTGCCATTTTTATTAGCTTGTAGAGGCAAATTAAAAGGAACGTAGTGCTCGTGGGAGCATATAGTTTGGAGAAAGGTGAATTTAAAATCGAACAAAGCTTTTGGATCGCAAGCCTTAAATTTCTCCAAATATTTCTTTATTTGTCTAAATACGAATCCACGGTCCATGAAGGAAAGACACGACTGAAAAATTACGTTTCAATTAAATATAGCTATTTCATTAATCTATAATCTAAATTTTTAAAGCATATTAACAATTTATTTATTAATTAAATACCTTAAGAAACACGGCAAGATTTTTATTAAATATATGAGTCTGCATCGGCTGTTGTAATATATACGTGGGTTCGACGATCGTTACTAGTCTGTCGATATTTTCTAATAGATCGGTATGAAACCTCTCATTTCGCGACATCTGTATATGAAAGACAAAATATAAATAAATTATATAAAATTATTAATAAATTGAGAGCATTTAAATCCATTACCTTAATTCGACCGGTATTAATAAGGTATTGTGCCATACTTTTGACGATAATGTCAAAGAAAAAGCTAGAGTACTGCATAAATTTGTGACACAATAAAAAGTCTTGTTGATTTTGATCAACAAACATGTACAATGGTGCTGTCAGAACTGTATGTAGCTTAAATTCAACGCAATTGAAGACATACTGAAAAAACAAACAAATATATGTATATAAAGATAAAATGAATTATCTAACTTCAAACAAAAAGAAATTAATTTACAAATCACCTTAACATAACTGTCAAGTAAATCCTTTCTGCCAAAATCATGTATGAGATGAACATAATGTACTATCAATTTCACAACTTGGTAGCCCATGTCTGAAGTGTATCCTTTTTCAATTGTCTGTAAAAATAAAGTTAATTAGTGTATTCATAAAAATAAGTAAGGGTCAGATTTTGTGTTTTCTTATATTTTTTATACAATCTAAATTTTTGGTATAATAGTAATGATAATTTAGTATCTTCTGAATTATATAAATGAGAAAAAAATTATAAACACGAACAGTACTCATACCGGAGATTTCTGGCTAATTGCTACATTGCTTTATCAAAAATTACAAAATCAAAAAGCATTCAAATCTATTTAATAAATTAAAATGACATAATATAATCACCATCAAATCAAAAAGCTGATTGAAGATCGTAGGAAGGAAAGCTATCAGCGAACTCAGATTAACAGCGTGTGCGGCCTTGAGCGCGTTACACACGTCATGCCACGGCGGGGCGCTGGGGGAGGTGGGAGGGGAACTACTTTTTATCAATCTCTCTATTTGGCAGAATAGATTGTGCAAATGAACGTCACGAGTCGCCACTGTCGAGTCAAGTACTAGCTGGCAACGGAAAAGTGGCTTTTCGCTTTCAACCCACACCACCTCTGGACCGGCATTCTAAAAAAAAAAAATTATAATTCCACAACATAGACAAAGGATTGAAATATTTTTTATTGTAGTATTTAAGTTTAATTCTCACTCCTTTTCCTAGACCAAGAGGCTGAATTGATAGGTAACCCGAAGGCAAATGTGTCGCCACCGGCAGATTGATAAACTCATCTATAAGCTTATCATTTTTCAGCAATGGCACCCAAGCATATCTGAAACATTAATTTAATATAACTTCTTCCTAACCTAAGCCCTGAAATGTATAATTGAGTTTAATTTTACCCTATACAAGTTTCCACATTGGTGTCATTCTTTTTTGCCAAATCGCATGAAATATGATGAAAAGTGAACAAAAGATGATGTGATGGTGTTATGGTAGCTGGCAGACGAATCTTTGCTTCATCACACCAGCTGGGGTTCGTGTTGTGGTGTAATACTGAACATCGGTACTGGGTCGTCATGCCGATACGCCCATATATAACCTGAAACACAAATTAGATCACTTAATATAATTTTATTAAAACCAGATTAACATACGAGTATGCCAACAAATTAATTCGAAATTTAAAAGATCATTTTTCTAAATTTGAAAATGGAATAAACTCCAATTATTTGTATTGTTGTTTTTTTTTTTAATTCAATAAGATGGTTTCATCATTAAAAGTCCATCACCTGCAATGGTTTCACATCACCGATATCGCTTTCTTTAAGTTCAATAGAGCAAGCAATGTTTCTGGCTCTGACGAACATTTTCTGCGACTCGAAGCTGAGTGATAACGGTCGTACGTATAAGTGATGGATATAAGATGCATAAGGTTGTTCCGCGTCTGCATTTAGAGTTGCCAATTCCAAAGTTAGCGGCGACAAAGGTGATAGCGGGAATGGCTTTAGTGCTGCGTATGCACTTGTCATACAATCTAAAAATAATATATAACTAGTCAAAACAAACATAACATTTTTCTTATTACTAAAATTAGTGAAAAAATTCAAGGTTCAAGAGTTTAGGTTGCTACAATAAATTAATGTTTACAAAAAAACTTTTTTATCAGTTAGTGCGTTTAAAATTATCTAGTTGCAATTAGTGTACTTAGCATAGAACTCATAAATGTGTTATACGTTTAAGAATGTTATAGGGATTCCTTTCTTAGGAGAGAATCCCTATAGATTTAAATAACGTTCATTTACTTGGTATTTGTTCGTTGCTCTGCTGTATGTTGATGCTGAGCCATCCCGGTATGACCGTTAACTTTGCAAGTTTTTCCGGTTTCCGGTAATCCGATAATATTTTCAGTAAATCTTCATCTGACATTTTGTTCGGTTCCTGACGGTAGATTGCCGGAAATTCTGGCGTCGTGTCGAGATCATTGCTATATAATCTAATAAAATTATTATTATTATAAATCAAGGTAAATATATATCGGTAGACATAAATCGATATTTACTTAAATAAAGGTTTCATAGCCCAAGCAAACGGCATGCGATAGTTGCCAACTCGGTTGGCGTAGGCTTGGACAGTTTTGTGAACTTTAAGTCCCAACCGAGGATCTTTCGTTGCCTTCAGGTAGGGCTCCAACACCTGACTCACATGTCCTTGTAAGATCTTATCGATTTTAACAACTAAAAACAAGTCTGGATGTGGATTATTTACTGATAGCAAGGCCTACGAACAAAAAAATATAGTTATTCACGTAGCAGATCACCAATAATTGTTGAATTTTGAAATACAGACAAAATAAATACCTGTCTCTTTGATCTAAACCATTCCTCGGATAACTGTTTGACGTCCAGTTTAACGTCATAGCTAAAATTTTCTACTAATGATTTTGTGCACTCCGTTTCTTTGACTAGATCTCTCACGGCCGCGTGGTTTAAATCGAAGTGAAAATTTTCGGTGAGTTTTTTGCCGCTACGGGCATCGTAGAGCGCTAGATAAGTGAAGTAGGGCTCCACTTGGCACAGCAGTTCTTTGTCACCATCTATCGGTGCTTGTAATCTAAATTTTAGGCTTTCGCATTTGAGCAATATTCTTTGGCCAAAGTGTTCTCTAAAAGTTTGTACAAAAATATATTCAACACGACTAAAAACTACGTAGATATATCGAAAATTACTGATGAAGATCCGAAAAGTTTGTAATATATTAGAATTAGAATAGAATGTCTAAAAATTTACATTTGATATAAATTAAAAAAGTAGGTAATCGGTCTTTCGATAATCAAAAGAACTGTTAATATTTAAAAAAATAAAATAAACCGGTCTTCCGTGATTAACAAAATTTTAAATATGAAAAAAATGAAAGTTTTTGAAATCCCATTACATTAACTTTATTATTCGTAAATGTTTTAGTAAATATGGAACATACTTGAACGGTTCCAACTGTGGTTCGGGAGAAGGAGCCCTTTTATATGGCAAGGTGAATATATTGGAACGAGAGTCGTTTCTGGCTGCAGCTATTGAGAGGTCAGTTTCCCTCGAGTACCGCATCAGTAGCGGGTTCATGCTATGCTCCAGGCCTTTGAGGGTTCCGTAGATAGGAGGAGGCGGTTCCGCTGTTAGAGATACGTCTGCATCTGATATAATGTTATGGTTTTAAGGAACACGTATTTATTTAATGGATTGGAGGTTTAAACTCGCGCGAAACTTAAACTCAATGAACTTAGAATCAGCTGTAATAATTCTGGCTTCCTAGTGCCATATAAAACTCCCAGAACAGAAGCCGACTTTTTGTTTTCATGCGAGATATGTAAATGGATGGAATGAACATGCTCTCTCTAGCCTTCATATCCACATCAGATAAATAAAGTATCTTATTTTGATGTAAATATTAAAATAATATTTATATTTTATATGTAATGTTTTGGTAATGATAGTTTCTATACTCAACCCTCTGCGTATCATTCAGTTAAAATTGTCGGTTACCATTACAGGACTGCAATACACCTAACAAACCTGTCGTTTATTATATACAAGACATGTTAATTATAAATAAATTTAGTTACGACTTAGACATAAAATACATTGCAACCGTTAATGACGTGATTGAACCACGCCCGTGGAATGGAAAGTATTCTAATAACTCGATATAGCTAACATAAAAAGAAGATGCCAAGACATCGATGCACTACGGGACTTACTAAGTTGGATAAATCACTTTCAGAATCTAACAGGACTTTCAATGTTTTAATACCTTTATCTAAAGTCTCTTCAGACTGATTGATGCTCTGGTCTTGGTTCTTCTTGAGCGCTGCTTCAAAAGCCTTTATCCATTCGTTCATTTCCTCTTCGTTTTCGGCAGCAAAGGTATATCCTTTGTTGCCGGACATCCGTAGTTCGAAACAGTAACGCGCGCGCTTTGTATTCTAAAAATGAGATCAATGTGTGTATGCAAATAGTTCGTTACAATACAATGTTTTTGCATTTTCAAACTACATAATATAAAGGTATTGCAAAAAGAACCTTTATCAAATCAATTTAATGTTTCGATTAATTTAATTAGTTTAGATTAAATATAAAAAAAAAAATTTCTTTGAGGGATATGATTTTTAATTATTTCTTTCTTTGGCTACATCGTCAAATATTAAATATTTCATTTTAGCATTCTAAAAATAAATCTAGTCTTGTCACAGACTAGACGTTTGAACTTATAAAAGGTCAAAGGGTAACGTCCTTTAAGCCGAGGATGTTAGAAAGGTTTTATAATAAGCTCAATAAAATTAATTAACATCGTCGAGGCTTCTCCTATAAACACGTGAATGTAGGAAAACAGGTGCAGTTCGCGTACTTGGCTACGCTCTAAATACTCGCAAAAGGAACAAGTCAGCCCTTCTATGAGAAGTCAAAGATTCCACCAACGATTTCTTTAGACGTTGTATGTAACGCGAAACTTTTTCATATAACTAAATAAATATAGTTGGATTACGAGAATCTGTATGGAGAAACCTCTGTATGCATAGCCATTAATGTATATAACATTAAAAACTCTTTGGTATATGCGTCTATTTGTATAATTTATTTGCATACATAATTATGTTAAGTAATCATTAACTTTCACAATTTTCTATTCTCATATAATGGAAGGACAATCTATCGACGTTAATAGAAAGATCATAATGAGAAAACATTTCTAATGTAAAACTGATTTACCTTAACAACTTCTGAGCAAAAGTCCATAACAATAGTCAGTTTAGTGTCAGTTTTCTTCTCGTCTTTATAAACTTCGAGTATGTAAGCGCCGTCCGCCTCTCTGACCATTGAGCAATAGCGTTTCTTAAACGATTTTGAAGCGAGATTGCTAAATATCCTATCAGAACCGATTTCTGGTCCTTTGAGCAAGTAGCCCTCTTTGGTTCCAACGTCCACCTTAGCTTGGGACTCATGATCCTTCTCTGTTTCAGCATCAATATCATATACTTCCTCCGGCAGCTTATCATTTAACGGTCTGTATGAAAAAATATTCTCCTATATACTTTGATGATGAATCAAAGAAATTTATTAATATAAATATTACATTGATCCAATATAATAATCATAGTTTTTTAAGAGGCATATCTAAGAAATTAAAAATAACAAATTTCATAGTAAACATGATAAATAGAACAAATGCTCTTTGTGAAAACATGATAGTAACATTCGTAATAGTAACCATCATTAATGGTAACTGATAACATTCTTAACAATGTTTGAGTTTCCTCCTACATAATACATTGACACATATGTATAGGACTTAATTTGATATATTATTCAATTAAGACTAAATCATTATAGTTATTGTATTGAAATTTATCCACATGAACATAAACTGCATAAAAATCATCAAACCGTTCTTACCAATCTCTACATAAAAAACAATTAAAAAGTCTCAATGTGGACATAAAGCATATAAAAGCTGAAAATCTAATTTCTTTAATATCTGATAAAAAATAATTACCATATTTGTATAAATATATTATTTTGCAATCTATTACACTATATAGAGGAAGTGAGTCAGATATGAACAACATATAACCTTCTAAAACAAAAACAAGTGTATAGATTGTATAACTGACCATGAAATGTATGTTAATTGTTAGGCTAGAGGATATTTCAAAGTTCACAGATTGCATTACAATTTAGCATAAAATTTGTAGTCATTAACATATGAAAGAACATTCCAAAAAATCACCTCCAAATTATTTTTGCACATTCTAATGATAAACATATGATTTATCTTCTTCTTCTTCTACCTGGCAATTTTTCCCAGCTATAGCCAGGGTCTGCCTAACATGTTGTGAATGGTTTTGGCAATTTGTTTTTACGACCGGCCGCCTGCCTGACATCAACCCTCTTTTTTTTTTTTTTGGGAATCAACATTAATCAGTGATGTCTAAATATTCTTAGAAAGTACATATGATTCGGAAAAATCACATTGGTACTTGCCCGGGCCAGGATCGAACCCGCGCCCTCGGCAACGAGAGGCGGGCCCTTTAACCACTGAGCCACCACTGACTTGATAAACATATGATTTATGTTCAATAAAAATAATTACCTTGGCAAATTGAGATATGATCCTGAATAGTTGCTGTATTTATAATGAACAAGGTTCCAGCTTGAAGCATAACTAAGTAATGCCTGTCTCGTTAGCAGCGGACATGTTGATGCAGTTCTAACATCTGGTACCGCTGTTGTCACGGTTCTCCAACGACGGGGTAGCACAACACTCTACAATATAATGGACATTATATAGTATATAAAATAACAAAAAAAAAAACAAATTGTCATAAAATTATTTAAGCCAATTAAATTAGCTTTGGTTAAATTCAAAATAAAAAAAATGCTAATGTCTTCACCAATAATTGTTGAAAACTTTCTAACCTGAATGTCTTTAACAGCTTTTGGGAGAAAGTGTTTAATATATTCAGTGTTAGAAATATAGTCATTTTATTCATTAATACTTACAGAAACATCGTCAGATGGATACAGAAGTATTTCCCTCAATGGATCATTTAAAAGAAGTGTTTTGTTTTCTTGAATGTATTTCTCGAAATCGAGCACATTGCACTTAGTACTTAGAACATTCTGAAATAGATCTTTTATTGAATACCTATACATTTAAATGTACTGGGAAGTAATGCACTATTTAGCCCTAAAGAATACTACTGATGTTAAGTATAATATAAAATTAACAAAGATATGTTATCTGCTATTGAAGTGATGTTTACCATTAATAAAAGGCAGACAATAGCCACTGTTAAGTAAATATTATATGTATAGGATACAACTGTCATACTTATGATAAATGAAAATATTCAATAAGTTATACTAAATTTATAATAGTTTTTACATCTAATAATTTCAATATTTTTATACATACATATATCTGATTATCATATTTACGTTGAGAACATTTCTCCTTTAAAATTAACTAACCAGAATCGTATTTGAAAGCTATAGATGTGGTAATAATTTATTTAATAAGATTCTAAATTTTAATATTCACTGTTGTCCGTCAATTGACCAGTAATGATTACAATTAATATTTAGCTTTAAGTTTTAGATTAGAAATTTTATTAATATAAGTAAAGGGTTTTCCCCAAATATACAACTTTTAAATCAATACGAGCCTTCATAATACTCGTACGACTTCTAAATAGGGTCAAGACGGGTATTTGACTAGCAGATTGTTTGGAACAGTAAATAGAAAGCTTTGAACCTGTAATCTTTAGTGTTTTTAGCACAAATATTTACCTCATACTCAGCGCCATTCTTTTTATTGCGGGATATCACTGGAGGCATATTGCAATTTAACAATGAAAACCCACGTACAAATAATACATTTTAATTTATGATACACAACACAGAGAATGTCAACCCGTTAATTAGTATTTTCAGTATTCAAAACAAAAACGCCGAAAACCGCACTAAAGCCAGTAACGATTTGACAAGGCTGGAGGCTTCTGCACTCTGCAGTAATTTAGCTGTCAAACTTATGTATGGAGCACAGATTATACGCTTAGGTTACTATTCGCATACGCTACATTTCTATTTTACTTTCAGAATCGAGTTTATTCTGAAAATGTCTTCTCGATTATTTGAAAAATATTTTTTATATAGGTTTTTTCAAGGGATTTTTTTAAATATTCAATATTTATACTTTAATACACTATGTGCGAACCATTAAAAACTTTCTTTTTATTTAAAAACTTTAAAGTGAATATAGGGCGGTTGTTATATTACAAAGACTTTTTTATATTCATTAATATTTTAAACAACTATAAGCCCACAGAACTCAAAGGGTAAAATCATAATATCTGTGCTGTATTTTTCCATATTTACATCATATCTTATACAACTTATTTATGAAGTCTGTGAAAAAAATTATATTATTCTTTGGCAATGAAAAAAACATGTTTATTAATGCCACTAATAATAGACGTTAAAGGAAGTTAATCTATTCAAAGGCATGACGAAACATTTGAAAAAAAATTCTGCAGCTGATAGAAAAAACAGCATTGTACCTTATAGATATCTAGATTTTTTTTACTCAATCTAATAGAATGCTAGACATTATCAATAATTATGTTTTACATCGAAAATGGGGATATTTTACCATTAAAACTTACGTACCTTATTTTTATGTCTTTTATATGCTTACGCAAACATTCAATAGTAAAAAAATATTTTGCAAACGGATGATTGGAAGGTTTGATCTTTGGTTGGGCTAGTTCTTACATTAATTCACCATTGTTCTGTAAGAACGACAGAGTGCCTACACTGCACTAAGAAGCTTAACAATGTTGTTGTGTATTACACAATGGAAATATATTCCATAAAAAACCGTAAAAAATATATAGATAATTCCAATGGGATTGTTATTCTTGTTAGAAAGAGTTTTAACTTTTTCATTATAATATATTATAAACTGAGTGCTGCAGCGTCAACAGAAGCTGCAAGTGATGCAAGCCCAACGCTGTTGGCATAAATTTAAATTTAACGTAAGTACATATATGTACCTAAATCTAATTGAAGGCATGAGGTTAAGCTCTTGTCCTTCTCTCTGCATGTACACTTTAAAAAAATTACTACTTTTTTGTTGCAACACTGTTTATAAGCAGTAGGTACCTAATTGTTTTGTAAATTACACAACATGTTCTATAGGTTCAGGATGATTTTGACAAAGTGGCACTTAATATTTGTTTGTTTAGTATTTACTAAGTATTTAATTATTTAACAGGGGAAATATAAAAAGTACCGTAATTATACATATATTTTTATTTTATACATTTATAAGGAAATTTATATAGAAAGCTATTAAGTATACACATTTATATATTACACTAATAAAAATAATTTATTTAATACAATTAAAGAAATAATATTACGATGAACACTTGCTTTATATTCCCGTAAACATTTTCAGAGACAAGTAATATGCAAATACAACAAAGTAACATATCGAGTTCTTATTCCATATTTCTATTCGATAATATTTCTATAATTATTTATATTACAATTGAACTAACACTTCTTATTCAATAAAACACATCACTTACTCAATAGGTATTCATCAAAATAATACTACACACAGGAATACAACAGTTAGACAACGATTGTTTATAATTTCATACTTCACTCACAATTCGATTTATCCAAATCTGGAACCATATAAAAAAATATACATAGAACATTTGTATATAAAGGTAGTTTAAAATGTTGTAGTTTTATAAAAATTCCAGAAGAATTATATTAATATACGTGACTAAAATAAGTACTTAAATTAAATTTAACATTATAAATATAATACATCAAATAATTTATCACACATCTTTTTGGTTTATATATGGCACAATATGTATTAATTATTAACAATTAATGATAATTGCAGCAGAGGCCTTTTATCATTGATACACACTACATTGTTTCTAAGAAGACGAGCAAGATATAATGAAAAATTCCGCTCCAAGTTTTGAGTATTATTAAATGATATCAAGCTATCCGGTGGTGACTTCATCTTTTAATTTATAAAAAATATTAAATATTTAGTAATTTCACGTTTAAAAGAATCCACATTCATTGATTTTTTTATTTAGGAATGTGAAGACAGTCGAGTTACTGGCAGTTAAAATTATGTCAGATACTTTGTAAATGCTGAAACTTCAATCTTCTGAGTCTTCATCCTCATCATCACTATAATCGGAATCTGGTAACGGTTTTAAATAATCAGCCGGTGGAGGTGTAATAGGAACCAAATAACCACCTGAGTCTAATGGCGCAGCAGGTGGTCGAGGTAGACGTATTTTCGTTGAAGTACCCTCTGCTGCTTGAGCAGCTTCCAATTTTGAGCATATTTCATCAAACCCTATTCGATCCCGAGGATCAATCGCCCAACATGCTCGCATCAACTCACCTGCGAAGTAGGGACAATCATCAGGTGGTATTAAAAGGATGCCTTTTAAGATCTTTTTGGTAGCTCCTTCATTATTACACCCATAAAACGGTTGTTTTCCACGAGTGTAAATTTCCCAAAGTACGACACCATAGGACCACACATCGGATTCATGTGTGAATCTGGCATAAACAATGCTTTCCGGTGACATCCATCTCACTGGCATTGGCCTTTCTCCTCCCATTTTATAGTAGTCGCAAGTATAAACATCTCGGGACATACCGAAGTCTGCAATTTTGACGGCTAAGTTGGTACCGACCAAACAATTTCTTGCAGCTAAGTCTCTATGAACGAAGCGTCTCGAAGCCAAATATTGCATCCCTCTTGCTACTTGTAGGGCGACCTGAAGTAAAGCAGCCTCATCAAGGTTTGGTCCAGCTCGCCCACCACATCGAGAGCCTCGTAAGACACCGGCTAAATCACCCCACTCCATGTATTCAAAAACCATCCATGGGCTTATATTAGTTTCATCTGCAAAAAAATTCGTTCAAAAATAAATTAATTTAGTCTTTGAACTATAAAGCAGGCAGAGTTATTTCCTGTTATCTTACCTTTATAGACTACTCCAATAAGCGTTAAAATGTTCGGATGCCGAAACGCTGACATAATGGAAACTTCACTCACGAAGTCTTCTTCAGCACTTCGACCGGCACTTTCCTTGAGGACTTTGATAGCCACTTCTTTCTCACCAGAGTTGAGACGTAGAGCTCCTGCAATTTGTTATGTAGTAATCGTTTTATTTCATATTAATGTTTAATGTTACAAATACTTATTTAATAGAAATGATGAAAAAATACCTTTATAAACTTTGCCGAAGCAGCCTTCCCCAACTTCCTCCAGGAATGCCAGTGTGCTTCTGTCCAAGACGGTGACTTCAGGATGGTTCACTTTGTTGGAAGGGAAGGGGGCCGGCGTCCCTGGAGCCGCGCTGGGGGCCACGTTGCCTGCACCGCACACGCCGTACTGCGGGTTCGTTATATACCGTTCAGCTAGCAGAGGTTCCCCTGGCCGTACACGCTATAAAAATAACGTATACTAATCGAACATTGCAAAAGCGACCGAAGCTGCTGTTGTCATGAGTGATGGTATCCAATGAAACATCCAGATAGCCCAGGAATTTGTGCGAACCCAAAAAATGTTTTGTGAAACATTGTCGAACAGAGCTTATGTTGTTAAGGCCAGGCAAAATGATTTTTGTTAGTTGAATGATATCAAAAATTCTTACCGGTTTTACTTTCCTTTCGACGTTACATATACGTTTTCTGAGGAAGAATGCTAATACTGTGACTAAAACTATGAGCAGGCCGCATCCTGTGATCATACTGACAAGGAGTGGGGCACTAGCGCTCGTATATGTACTGGAATCTAATAATGCCGTCTCGCTTCCAACCGTGGCTTCAGCATAAATTTCATTCCCAACAAATGAATTTGGTTCCTGAAAATATTACTCATGTTAATGAATGAAACGTAGTACGAAGAAAAAGTTAGTGACGGATTTACTATTTAGTAACCATAAAATACAAAAAAGCTAACAAATATCTTAAATTTTTCAACGAATAATAAACGATTAAATTGCTCTCAGTAAATTTTTTTTACTAAATTTTTGGGCGACATCAATAAACGTTATCTGGTCAGACCTATCATGAATATTTATCAGTTACAGTGGAAAAATATACAAGAATTACTTTCCATCAGTCAGAGGCAAAACACTGGTTGTTATTATTTATAGCTCGATTCATTTATTACTTGAAGGTTAAATTATATATATTTATTTTAATAATCTTAAAAAAAGTCACTGTAAATTTACAATATTTTATATAATAAGCACAATAACGATACATTATTATAACAAATGAGATATTTGATTACCGAAACAGGATTTACATTTTTTTGTAAAGATAAGAGTCTTAAATCTGAGTGTAATCAGCATCGCTGGCTAGATAGATAAGGGAGATAAAAAATGATGTGTTAATGATGATGGATCTTACTTGAGCCGTGGGCGGCGGGTGTCGGAGTTTTGTGGCGTTTGATGGCTTCGGTGGTATTAAATTGTGGATAGCTTGACGTTGATTCAATGGCACTGGAATTTTAAAAAATTTATCAACCATATATTATTCTGTATAATTTATGTTTCCTTTGAGTATTTTGGATATTACTACGAACATATAAAAGTCATATGGATATAACATATTTTTAATAAATTATTGTAACTTACCAGTGCTACGCGGACATTTAACTCCTTTTTTGGCTTCCTCCCCGTTGGAAGTGCACAAACAGTAATGCGCTGTAACATTGTTCCTTTGTCTCTGAACGCACGCCTGTTCCTCTTCGCATGATAAAGTTTCACATTTACCAATAATAAATGTCACGTCAACTGAAATAAAGTATAAATCAATTAATTAGCGATCAAAACTTTAATATTTTAAATTGGATTTCAACTGATATATATCCAAACTTATTATGGTTTCTAAATAACATAAGCACTTTTAGCTATCTAGCTTTTCCCCTTTGTTAATGTAGTATTATTGGGTACTCCCAATCTCGGATTTAATGTTCGAAAAAAGTGCTTAATTATTTATTAGTACCCAACAATAAATTTTTATATATGATAAATAATTCACTTAATAATAAAATAGTATAAAATATTGGGACATTTACACTTACTAGGGTCGTTTTGAGGTAATATCATAAATACATTTTCCTTTTCTCTAGTTGGTCTTCCAGGTTTTTCACGAGATCTCTGAAAAGGTTATAAATTATTTCAAACAAAACAATTATAACGTTAAATTTTAATTTTTTGATACAAACACTTGGCAAGTTACAAAGAATTTGATAGATTAATTAAAACTTAAAGCGAACCAAAGATAATTGCTTACACGATTTGTTTTAAGTTGTATGTTTATGTTAAATAATTGCCTTGTTTTATGTGTAATGTTTACTAAGATAACCTTCTAATTAATTATTATGCCACGTTTATTAATTAAAACGCATTTCCGTATGTCAAGACGTCACCTTACTCCCTCTTTAACCTACTAACAATTGTTGCGCAATTGAAATGCTTTAAAACTACGTAATATATAAAAAAAATATTACAAAAAGGTTTTATATGTCAATATTAAGGAGTGGGCATGTAGTTTCTAAGTATTGTACGTGTGTAATTTATAGTATAGATATAAATTGAATATAACATAACTCGATTGTAACATCATCTGTAATGGAGGAGATGTTTGATGCAGTTATTTTGGACACCTTATCGTGGTGCGTGCCCACTTCGCCTGATTGAGGTTGCCATAAATCAATACTATACTTATACAATCACATACTGGTATGAATTATTGATATTTTATAGCCGTCATTTGAAAGACTTTGAATTATTCGTTTAGTTTGAAAATATGTGACATAACTAGTTATGTTTTTATCATAATTTTTCTGTGTAACGCCTACGAAGAAGACGTTCAAAGTGTTTGAATTATTAGATAATATTTTTATATAGATATTTTAAGGAATGTGTGTACTGTAACAAGAGATCTAAGGAGTAGAATTTGATGCAATTATAATTATATGTAATAATCTTAAATGAGATGGTACTTGCCCTAGTCGAAAATTAAATTGTAAATTCTTGTAAACCCACTCATTGTAATCAAAATACACGATCACTACATACGTTATTTGTAATTCAAATGAATAAAAACTAATTAATTTAAATATCATGTAAAATTACAGATTTGGAAATTCTTTTCTCGATTTACCTAAAGGGAAGATCCGTTACCATACTAAGAAAAATCTTTTCAGCACGAATTACTGTGATTCCTATGAAATGAATTATTATTAGTAGGTACTTATGATCTTTGTAAATGAACCAATATTCAATTTACAGTTTAAGTGAACTAAAATTATAATAGTATGTGTTATTTCATATTTTTAATTAAAGTTCTCTTCATATTTACTTCGAAAATTTTAATATTATTCACAATAAATACTTGTATCATAAAAAGGTATTAAATTTTAGGGGTTGTTATATATTTTTTTATAAATTTCGTCAAGTAGAATATTCATTTATGAATTGTACAATGACTGTAAAACACAATAGAGAGTAAACACAATACTATAAAGAATACATTTATTTATTCTTAAATTAAATATGTACTTAGATTTTGGAACGAAAACGTTATCTTCTATATATATAAAAATGGATTGCTGTTCCTTAGTCTCGCTAAAACTCGAGAACAGCTGAACGGATTTATCTTATCTTAGTCTTGAAATGTTCGTGGAGGTTCAGGGAAGGTATAAAAGCTGAAAAAAATTGATTCATTACTGGGAAAACCATAAAAACAGCCCTTTTCTATTTCCCATACAAACGGGTTTTTTTGACATTAGATTTGACAACTAACTAATATGTCAATCATTCTGTCGCACTTAAAAACACGGAGATTTATGGCTTACAGGTAAACTCCAAAAAATATAAATAAAAAAACGTAATAGATATTTCTTGATTATAGGGCGATACGAAGTTTGCCAGGTCTTCTAGCAATAATATAAAACTATCTAAGGTATTTTTACTAGATTTCGTACAAAATAAACTCTTTTTAGACTTCCTCTCCACAATAAATTAGCCTCTGCCAAATAACAAGTTCATCGACTTAATTATTTTATACAAAGTTTTACTTGATGTATATTACAATTTTGTTTGTTGGTTTATATTAAAAATATAATAGATGCAACTTCTCAGCATTCCATGTATTCGCCGAACAAATTTACGCGGTAAAAGTGAGAGCGGGAGGTATAAGATTATTTGTGCAATATGTATGGAAAACGGAAATTGAAAAACCTACAATATAAAATATTTTTTAAATATTTTTTCTTTATAAATTTTTGGTATTTTAATTGTCATATATAATATATTGGTATAACTTTCGACCAAATTCTTGTTAGTAATAAATATGAGTGGATGTCACGGTATTTCCAGAAGACTGATGTTGTGACTGAATTATATCATAGAATTATATATTTTTGCCTTATTATATTGTTTTTTATACGGATATAAATTTTCTATACTCATTAAATGACATCCGTACAAACTATTGGAATCAATAAATTTATTGACTTGTAAACTTAAAAAATATTTAAGATAAATTATTCATTCAAAGAGTTCTATATACAAAAGACAATTTAACTAATTAAAAACGTATTAAATACATATTTAATTATCTCAACAACAGCAATAGTAACGAGTCATAATCTCTTTAAAATTGTACTTTGAAACAGGCTAATTCATAATTAGTGGATAATCCGGACACTCATCGATGATTGCAATTTCGTTCTGAAATAGAAGGACATTTAATGTAAACATTGTATTGTGATGAGAAATCCAGGGAACAAGAACAAAAACTGATTAAAAATATGGACATCAGTTCTAACAATACTGTTAAAGTTGCTTAGTTTTGTAGTATTTGTTGTAAAACAAATTCAGTTTCAATTTATTATTTACTACTAGTTTTTGCCCGCGACTTCGTCCGCGTTAATTTCGTTATTAGTAATATTCTGTATATGTATAGCTGAACGGGCGAACTCTATTCCGTCTTAAATAACAAGGTATTGGTATTTATTAAAATTTTCCTGTTTCAATCGCACAGAATGATTGACATATTAGTTAGTTGTCAAATCTATTGTCAAAAAAACATTTGTACGGGAAATAGAAAAGGGCTGTTTTTAGGGTTTTTCCGGAAATGAATCAATTTTTTTCAGCTTTTAAACCTTCCCTGAACCTCCACGAACTTTTATGATAAGATAAATCCGTTCAGCCGTTCTCGAGTTTTAGTGAGACTAAGGAACAGCAATCCATTTTTATATATATAGATAAAACAAAATATATATCGAGTCCTATTCTAATTTTGAATTTTGTCGCTTCTGCCAAAAATGAAAGGCACAAAAGCGTACGGCTTTTAATTATTATTGTATTTTATGATTCTGTTGAATAAGAATAAAAATAAAAACAAATTGAATAATATGTAAGACAGTTAAGTCAAGTGTTTCATTGCCTGGCCGTTATCGCACGCCATTCAAATTTAATGTAATAATAACATAAAAAGTTTTAATATGAGAGGATTATTAAACGCCCAGCGCGAACTTAATCCGCCTGCAGTGCGTCAGAAATTGAGTTAAGAAATCTCAATTAGTATTTCATAAAGATACTCGTACATTCTTGTAACTGATATGCAGTATACAGACTTTCTTTAATGAATTCTTATTTTAAATATTATACTAATTTATATATTTGCTTATTACTCAGGACAAACATTTTATAAAAAAAAAAATATTATGTGTGTTCCTTTTTTAAATTATATGTGACTTAATTTAGGACAATGCAATTTTAATTTGTGGAAGTGTGCAATTGCTTTCTAACGCAATTGCATACATGAATGTGTGAGTGTGTGTAAGTAGGATTGCTCGCGTTCCCGTGTTTTGCATCTAGTCCCATTTGTTTAAAATGCATTATGCATGCTGTGGATTCTTGAAAGTAGATTCTATGATTCTCCTTTACATATAAAGATTTAAGTGATGATAAATAAGGAGATAAAATTCTGGATGTCATGTTCGGAACAATACAGATAGGTATAATTAATTTGTGTCACGTAGGTTTAAAAAATAAACCGTTAAAGAACACATTAATTAAAGAAGAAGCAAAATTAATGAATGACGAAACTCTGGCAGTAATTTTTTGCTTATAAAAATATTTGCTTTATTTTTATATACAAGACAATAAAATCTCGTCAAAGCAGCGAGCGAGATAAATAATATTATCAATTCTTATTATATTGACTGTCAATAATAAATATATGAGACAACAATTTGAGTTAAATTAGTTAAGGAACCGAAAACCTTCTTGGAAATAACGTTAAAAGAATTGTATTTTTTAAAATCATTTAAAACTTTGATAACTAACCGACGTTAAAAAAAGGAGGTTATTTTTAACTATCATATTAACAAGCATTCATATTTTAAATAAAATTGAGACATTCTTGATATATAATTTGTATCTCTGCAAAATTAATGAAACGTATCTTCAATTGAATCGCTGACGTCAACCAGAAATACAAACGTGATAGTTGTTTCCTTGGAAAAAGCCTCTTGTTGTACGCTGTAAAGGAACTTATTAAAAATACATAGCAACATATAGTATAATGACATCCACGTTCTAAGATTACAAACTGTTACACAATCAGCGTGCATTGATATAACGGGCACAGTTTGTTAACTAGACGCACTTTGTGTTCTTACTTCACAGTGAAATGCGATCGATCCGGTAACATTGACGCCATTATATTAATAAATATCTCAACGCCTGATAATATATAATAAAAACAAACTTTTTGGAACATAGGTATCAAAGGTTAAATGTATATTGATTTTTGAAGTCGGCATTCTGACCTCAACCTGATACGAAACTTAGTTTAAGATTATAGCGTCATTTGAAATTCGAAATTCAAAAATTTTATTGACAACACTAAACACGTGCCTGCATCGGCAATAATTTAAGCAATAAGCTGTGTTAACGAATGAGCGACTTATGAAATTCGATCACTATCACCAATAACAGTATAATACACTATATTATTTTCTATAAGAACAGAAATAATGTAAAAAATGTTCTCTTTTATTTGATATATAATTGTTATGTCATTTTGCCTACATATGATAAAACAACGTTGTCAAAAAAAACCTTACATTTTAGTTAAGTGA